AGCAGTGTTTTAACAATTTTTAATTTGTAGCGATTGTCAATGGTTAAGAAGAATCACTAAACAAAATATAAAAAAAAAACACTATGAACGAAAAAAATGCTATTATAACTATGATAACCACTACCAATAGTTGATAAAAATCACTGCACATTATAATCAGAATCACTACTAATTAATAACTACTACATACAAATGATTATCAATATATAACTATATCCTATTAAAACGTAAAATCCAACCGACCCACCCCAACCATCTCGTCGTCCGCCGCTGAAAAACACCTTAGTTGTCATCGGCCTTCAGATTCGTTCGACCGTGACTCCAGATCCATTGTACCGGGACGTCGATGAGTGAAGAGAGAAGCCATATACGGAATGGGCCTTTTATCTTTGGACGACGACGCATACATGGAGAAAGAGACGGCAGCGACGATGCACCATCGACACCCCTTCTTCTGTAGTCGCCACTTGCCTCCTCCATCGCCATCGTCGCCGCCTACCACCTCTCAGTATCTCCGTCGCTGCTTGCCTTCATCGCATGACGCTTTGGTTGCCTCAACGGTATGTTGTCCATCGCCGCACTGTATGCAATGATGGTTTGGGTACAAAGAGGAGAGAGGGGAGAGAGAGGGGAAAGTGGGGGGAGGCCGTGAGTGTGAGTGATGTTGGGAGGGAAGTTTTTATATGGGTTAATTGCATGATTGGTCACTGAGATTACGAAAAACATTTATGTTTGGTCAATCGAAATATTTAAATCCATTCATAATCACTAGATTTAGTAAAACAATTCAAGTTTGGTCACTCTTTGTCCAACTCCGTTAACTTTGTCTGATGTGGCAGTCAACTCTCAAAGTTGACCGTTAAATGTATGACGTGGCAATTAAAGAAAAATCAAAATTTCCACCTCGTTATCACTACCACTAAAATGAAAAATAAAAATAATTAATTTTAACTCACTAAACCTCACTAATTATCAACTCCGCCTCACTCCCACCTCCGTCGCAACTTACAGCGAAGACGACGAGCACATAATTGGGCTTGGGAAGGCCAGATATTTTGGCCCCGATGGATTCCAGCACAACCTTCATGTACTCGCGCCATGAGCAGGTCACCCAATTGAGCTAATGATGTTGCCGTCCATGAGGCAGGAGGTGATGTCGAGCATCGCGACTGAATCCCAGGCTGCTCCCACCAGGTCCCGCCGGCAAGCTCAATCACCGGCTTCAAGCTAGTGATGATCATATAGGCGGTAGGTGTCATGAACCAGTTGGTCCCAATAACTCGAGTTGTTGGGAGAGGTTCTATCGTGGATCTTATACCACACACTAACACACCCCCCTCAAACGAAAGCCACTCACAAGGGCTTGAAGTTTGCACAGGTCCCAATACCATGTGCTTAACAAATGAGGGTTATCAGGATTTGAACACAAGACGTCTCGGTCACAGAAGGCTCTGATACCATGTCATGAACCAGTTGGTCTCAATAACTCGAGTTGTTGGGAGAGGTTCTATCGTGGATCATATACCACACACCAACAGTAGGCAGAGAAGAAGGGATAATCATGCATCACTGATTCCCCATTTCAAGCTCGGGAGATTGAAATTGTGGAGCGACGGTTTTGATCTCTCCGTCCCCATCGCCACCACCGTTACCGTCACCGTTGTCGGCTCGTCGTCTCACTGACTCTTCTCCCCTCCCACCAGTATACACCATTGAACGACCAGAACCAGAGTTCAGATCACGAGCTCCCCACCTTCCATTCTATCTCTCCGGAACCCAGCGTCGGCGGTCAAGAGCTGCCATTTCCTCTCTCTATTTCGATTTTTGTTTATGCGTAGACGTTTGGAAATCGCCGGGAAGAGGTTGGAAGGGGGGATTTTAATATATATACACAAAAGGGCAAAGGGCAGTGAGATCGGGGGCGGTTCTAATGTTCAGGTGAAAGGAGGAATTGTGAGGGCTTTCGGAGAGTAAAGGCTGGGACGGAGGCGGAGGAAGAGAGAGGAGCTACGGAGGTATAAGAAAAGAGGATTGTTATTTGCCGCCCTATTCTTTACTATTTGCCGCCCATGTTTTAAATTAAAATGTCACTTTTGCCCCCCCAACATGATTCTTTCATACCAATAACACTCGTTCCAGCACCGGGAGACCACCACCGCCAGTGCCAATCCACCATTGCCGAACTGACCGCTGGCAGACCACGACCGCCGGAGCCATGGTCAGACCATCTCTGCTCAAAAGGTGTTGAGGGCCGTTCGACTCCGGAGGGCGGATCCCGTCCGACGTTGACCAGCGGACCCCGTCCGACGTTGACCAGGGGACCTCGTACGACTCCTTCAGGCGGACCCCGTCCGACGTCGGCAGGCGGACCCCGTCCGACGCCGGCGGGTGGACGGGAAAAAAAGAAAGATGGCGGCCGCGATTACTTTCTCAGCGATGGGAGAGGAGGCAGAGCAATTCAGTTCCCAAAGATTTGTTATTTGCCGCAAATAATGGTGGAGGGATTACAGGGAGAGATAAGCGGAATATAATAAAAGTGTGTTAATAATTAATTATTTTAAGCATTAATCTCGCCGATTATTAATTAAGGAAATAAATTGAATATTAATCACTAATCAGACGTGGGTAAATTATGTAAAGTAGATTAACTATAATTATGTTAAATTAGGTTGGTAGTGATTAACGAGACAAGGATTCACTCGCAAAAAAAAAAAGGATAAGGATACAAAATTATTAAATTAGTTAGGATGACTATAAAATACTTATTAAATTACTTATGTGGTTTTAAAGTAATTATAATTTATCACAAATACTGTATAAATCAATAAATAATTAGACGTGGGTTATGGACATGGACATGTTAATTAAGGAATTTTTTTCGGATGTCAATTAAGTACAAGAAATTAAACGTGGACGCGTTAATTAGGAGAAGACAAGTTAATTAAGGGATTTTTTTTACAATTGTTAATGTAAACTTATAAGTTTACCATAAAAAACTCCTCTCTTTAATATTCTACCGAAAATATATCAACGAAAAAATCAACCTTACCTTAAAATACTCCTTTTAATTTGCCTAATTATCATATTTCTAAATATTTAAAATAATATAATTTTTATTCACCGGCGGCCCGTCCGACGCGCGAGATCGGACCACGTCGTTGCGGGAGATCGAACCACGTCCGACGCGAGAGGTCGGACCCCGTCCGAACGCTGACGTCGGACCAAAGGTCTCCGTCCATCTCCTTCCGAGGCCTTGCTCCCATGGCGACTCCCTCGCCGCAGCCGCCACGCAAAAACAAGAAGATTGAGAGCCGGGAAGCGGAAGAAGATGGTGGAGGGAACATCGCGGGAAGATGGTGACGACGGTAAGACGAGGAAGTCAACAGCCACGGCAGCCACGGGAAGGAGGGAATGGGTCAGCGAGTTTCCAGTTCCCGACGATTTTAATGGCGGCGATTCCAGAGGATGAAGTGCGGGGGGTAGAGCGACAACAAGTTTCTAGATCCGAAGGTGGTGGTTCCAGTTACCGGCGGCGGTTCAGATGGCAAAGCCCGATGAGTTTCAGCTCTGGTATTGGCGGCGACGAATCCCCCAGACGATTTTTTCTCCAGATGCCGACGACGGTTTGTTCTCCGGCAAGCGGGGTGGCAGCAGAGAGAGGAAGTTAGGAATTAGGATGAAAGGTTAAAATGGACATTTTATTAAAATCATGGGCGGCAAATAGTAATTTTTAGGGCGGCAAATAGCGATTCACTAAGAAAAATGCTAGAGTTGTGGGTCCATGCTGCGGAGAAGGAGCTACGGAGGTGGGAGTAGGGATGGCAATTTTGATCTGACCAGTTTTATCCGACCTGTTTGGTTTGTTATGGGGTGGGTATGGGTACTCTCATCGACCCGACCTGTCCTGACCCGCCCCATTTTCGACCCGTTCTTGTCTAAATTACATGTAAGTTTAGTTAAACTACTTAGGATTTTCCTTTTATTACATCATATTTTAGTTAAAATAAAGTTGTAAATTAGACAAAACCTCAATTTATCCAATAATTTAACTACATTCATCATAATATTGTTTGTTTCCTTGGTTTTATAATAAAAAGAATGCATATTTCTAATGTTTTTCATATAAATTGCATACCCATTGGGTCGACCTGCCCCGACCCACGACCCGTGATAAATTACCCGACCTGCCACGGGGCGGGTCTAGGTACCAAGAAACCCGCCCCGGACCTGCCCCATTGCCATTCCTAGGTGGGAGTGATAATTAGTGAGGTTTAGTGAGTTAAAATTAATTATTTTTATTTTTATTTTTCATTTTAGTGGTAGTGATAATGAGGTGGAAATTTTGATTTTGATTTTTGATTTTTTTTAATTATCACGTCATACATTTAATGGTCAACTTTGAGAGTTGACTGTCACATCAGACAAAATTAACGGAATTGGACGGAGAGTATTTAAATATTTCGAGTGACCAAACATGGACATTTTTCATAATCTCAGTGACCAACAATGCAATTAACCCTTTTTAATATTAGGGTTTCAAATAATATTGCTAAAATATCTCTTATTTAATTCTGACATTTGGATCATTATCTTAATCTAATGGCTATCATCTAAGTTAGGGTGATGCTAACTCTTAAGAGGTTAGCAAACTAAACTCATCAGTTGCCGTGATTAAGATCTCCACACTTGGATTTAGGTTAATCTTCAAAATGAGGTTAATTGTTGGATCAAAGTTTGCGGTTGCAAAAAATCATAAAACTCTTTTAGATTTTGAAGAGGAAAATGACCGTTTTTGCCCTTTTCTTATATACTGACGACGGTACATGTGGCACCGGATGAGCGGTGGAGATGCAGGGAACCAAAGAATCCAATTGGAAGGCGGAAGGGGCTGCTTCTGGAGCTTTCTTTAGCGGCCTGCCTTTTTCCTCCCTCCCTCCCTCTATATATACACAAACAAACTGCGGAGGTTGCCTGCTTTGAGAGAAGCTTCGGGAGATAGATTGAGAGCGAGGAAGAGGGAAGAATGTCGTACCTGCTGCCGCACCTGCATTCAGGATGGGCGGTGGATCAGGCCATTCTCACAGAAGAAGAGCGCGTCGTCATCATCCGCTTCGGCCACGACTGGGACGACACTTGCATACAGGTAACAATTCATATTACAACACTCGCCCTAGCTCTTGTTTCAATGGTAACATTTGATTCGATTTCATTTCTATCTCCAATTTCTGCATTCCTATGGCGAAATTGCAGGGCTAGCAGCTTTGAGCAATCAATTTTGCTACTGAATCAATTTTGCTATTGAATCATATGGTCCGGGGTTGGCCCCAAAGTACACAATGGGCCGGGCCTCGTTTTCTTGTTGGTTTATATCCGGCCCGCTCGGTGCGTAACGCACAAGCTATCTTTCCACCTTTACTTTGGAGTTAGCCACTCGGCTCGGCTATCTGACTACGACGAAACAACACAATATCCAACGACTGACTTTCCTTCTGAATTTAGGGATTGCAATTTCCGGAAGATCAACTTACTGGAGAGGAGAGGAGGACTGAGTAGGCCAAAGCTGCGGGGATGTCGTACTTGCTGCCGCACTTACACTCAGGGTGGGCCGTCGACCAGGCCATCCTCGCCGAGGAAGAGCGTCTCGTGGTCATCCGATTCGGCCACGATTGGGATGAGACCTGCATGCAGGTAGCCTTCACCCTCTCTTCGCTCTTCCTCAGAGGGAAGCAATTGGTTCCTCTCTCTCCTCCGCAAATCGAAATTAACCCTACATCCTGATTTCACCCGCCGAGTTCCGATTGGGAACCGGTCGCTGCGTGTTTAACCTTAGGTTATGATTGATATAATGATATTCGAACGTTGACTCGTCTTGGGTTTGTTGTTCTAGGGTTTGCTTAGGATCGTATTTTGTTCCCCGGTGATTGTTCATCATTGTATCGAAATTCTAATGCTTCGTATGATCAGGATAACCTTGTTTCCGATCATCCAACCAAGAGGATTGATTGCTCTGGTTTGGAATTTCCCCAGAAGTCATATTACTACTCTGGACCTAGCACGTTATGACTTTCAGGAGCCCTTATGGAATGTGGTGCGATAGTGTTTGTTGCTTAACTATATTGAAGCTTCTCTAGTGCGAGATTCTCTTCTAAGTGTCCGGTTTTGAGGGTGAACTTTTTCTGCCAATCATGTTTTGTTTTGTTTTGTTTGTCTAATTGGGGTGCTATGTGGTTGATTGACTTTTATGTCTGAGTTTGTTGGTTATCTGGATTCTGAGAGATTGTTTCTATCTTTTTGGTGGTTTGGTTGCAGATGGATGAAGTGTTGTCCTCTGTCGCTGATACGTTGAAGAACTTTGCGGTGATATACCTGGTGGACATCTCTGAGGTGCCTGATTTCAACACAATGTACGAGCTGTACGATCCGTCGACAGTTATGTTCTTCTTCAGGAACAAGCACATCATGATCGACCTTGGCACTGGAAACAACAACAAGATCAACTGGGCTCTCAAGGACAAGCAGGAGTTTGTCGACATTGTGGAGACGGTGTATCGTGGAGCGAGGAAGGGACGTGGTCTCGTCATTGCTCCTAAGGACTACTCCACCAAGTACCGGTACTAGAAGAGTTCTTCAGAAGGAACTGTGGAATGTTATCTGGACCAGGTGATACTGGATGATTCCTCAAATGCTGTTACACAGCACTGCCAAATATTGCTACTGATGTATTGTCGCATGTAAGAATTTGAACCAAGATGGAATGGTGTAATGATGTCATTTCATTCTTATGTTGCCTACCTTTTCATCCTCCTAGCTGGAATGGTGGAACCATATATCATTAAGAACAAGATGAACTGTATCAGTACCACGACTCGTCGTGGTAATATATGTCTACTTATGAAGTCTTGTTCTTAGTCACCTGATTTGATCAGACCTCTGATAACTTCCCAATTCACAAGTAATTTAAGTTTTTGGGTTTGTCTACATTTATACGAATACCAGTTCCATATACAAGTAAAATATCCATCTAAAGTTGTATTCTATATACTACATCCCTATGATCTGTTGTTCCTGATGGCTTCACCTAGCTCAACAGCAGCGGCTCCAATAAAGAACCAGGTCATCCATGCTAATGAGACCTGCATCAGCGAGCTGTTCACAACATCAAGCGCAAAAGAACCACCTATATGTTCATTCAATCCCCCGCTCACCACTTCCCTTCCCCCAACTTGCAGGTGAACTAAAACAGCCGCAACTGTTGCTGCCACCGCTGGGATCGTCAAGCTCCTCTTCCTCTCCTTTTCAACTGCATATCTTCTCCCCTTGTTCACCTTCCTCGACCCAGCTTTCACTGCTGACTTCGAGTCGGCTTTCTTGTCAGTAGTTGATGAGGATGGAAGACCTCGTGTAGACGGCACCCAGTATTCATCCTGTTCTGGACTCACTGCAGCAGGACGAACGGGGCCGGTGCTCTCTCTTGCCTGTCTTCTTGCCTCGGCAGCCTGGTGGATCTTCTTAATGTCTGGCTCGGTTGATGTTTGTTGTCGTGGAAGTGGGAGAAATTTCAAGCTGCGTTGAGTGGATGATGCATGCTTTGGTGCTTGCCAGTACAACCAGAGTGATCTGATTGTCTGAATTGCTGACATCCTTGCCTCTCTTTGCAGGTCCGCCTCCTGAAAAATCAATTGACCCATTTTCCGGCAAGCGAACATCAATTTACTGAAACAAACACAGCGGAGAAATTTCTCCTTGGAGTAGCAAGTTTTGAGAACTGACCCTAGAGGAGTTCGGGTCAGTGGCGTCTGCTACTCTGTTTCTGAACTTCTTCACATCAACGAAGATGTTCGAGACTCGCTGTCCTGCTGAATTGCTTGCGCCGATCCTCACATTCCCCCGTGGCTGCTTCGACATCAGGAACTCCAAGGCAGCCAAATCCGCTCTCTCCACGACGCTGTCAAATCCACAACCTTATTAGCAATAACCTAAATAACCAAATTCGTCTGAAAGCGGAGGGGTTAATTAGATCGTACGAGATGCAATCAACAGGACATGAATCAATGGCGGCATTAATCTTGGGTTCAGGGTCAGCCCACTGCGCAACAACCCTTGCTCTCCCATAAACCGATTCGATCCCAAACGTCTTCTCTGCAAACAAGGCGCACTTCAAGCAACCAACGCACTTCACTTCGTCGACGAACACAGCTCTCTGCTCGCTCTCCGAACCCACCCACGTCGAGTACAGCGGCTTCCCTGTATACCCACGTAGCTCGGCCAGCTTCGCTTGTTCCTGTTTCACAATCCAATTTTCAGACCGAATCGCCAAGAAAAGAACGGAACTTGAAGTGACCCTTTGGACAAAGAGGCGTAAAGTTCAGACCTTGTCATAAGCGTGGCGCGAATTCGGATCGGAGAGAACAGAGTAAGCCTCGTTGAGCACGATTGCCATGTCGTGGCCAGCTGGGCCGGCGATGTCCGGGTGGCATCGCTTCTGAAGCGCTCTGTAAGCCACTTTGATTTGGGAATGGTTGCTTGAGCTATCGATTCCGAGGAGATCGTAGAGGTCGAAATCTGTGATCAGAGAAGAGGTTGCAGAAGAAGCTGCTGGTGGCCGGCATGTGAGAGGAGGAGACTGAGAGCATGGTTTCCTGGAGAATACGGGATGGTGGGAAGAAAGAAAGCTGCTTTGGAAGCTTGAGATCTTTCCGGCGAGTGAAGCCGGCGATGGGCAGAAAGGAAGGTACGACGTGGCCATTTTTTCTCTTTTGGTTTTGGGGAGGATAATGGAGTAGAGTGAAGAATGGTCTTTAATTCCTTTGTGTGTTCGTTTGGAGGAGAAGATATTTTCTCTGGACGGAGATATTTCTTCACTCCCTATTTGAACTTTTCCAGGAAAATTTCTCGTCATTTTGTTTGAGTTGGACAATGACCCAACAGATTTTGGTCTCATACACCATAATCGTTTCATGATGAATCGGACGAATAAGAAAGCATCAGCAGGGTGCTGAAGTTTACCCCGTTCTGCATAATAGCCAAACTCATTTCCCAGTACTGGAATTAGGAGTTGAATTTGTTTGGAAAGTAAATTAGCTAGAGAGTAACAAAAGCTTTACATGAAAGCAGCATGGTTTTACTAATTACTAGTGCAAAGTGACGAGATACATGTTCCAACTAATATGTAGAATCCACGAGTTGCAAGTTCTGAGATGACAGGTTTAATGAATTTTCGATGGGACGATTTTGGCGCAGGAAGTTCTGGAACCAGAAGGCGGAGAGCTTAGGATGTCTCTGCAGCCCATTCTTGAAGTCTATGTGGACAAGACCAAATCTTAGGGAGTAACCAGCACTCCATTCGAAGTTGTCGAGTAATGACCACGCAAAGTATCCCTTCACCTTCACTCCTTTCCTGCACAATAAGCAAAATCCTTAGTACACTGCTAACCTACAGGAAATTGCTTTCAGTAGATGGGATAGGCTCACTTGATTGCATTGTGAACAGCTTCAAGATGGCCCTGGAAGTAGGAAACCCTGGAAACATCCTGAAGAGCTTCTTCCTTGGGCGAGGATTCATCGGTGCTGTCATAAACTCCTGCAGCAGAAGGTGCATTTGGTAAGGGTGTAAAGGATCATGTTTGATGAAGAATTGAATGGATTGGAAAGGGTAATGGAACTGTGGTTACTGGTTACCATTCTCGGTAATGTATATGACAGGATCATTGTATCTGGTCTTGGTGTAGTTTAGCAGCTGCTCAAATCCTCTGGGATAATCGTACACCCAACCTGAACCCACCTGTTATTTGAAACGTTCATTAGTTTCTCGGCTTAATCAAATATTTTGATTCATGGACTGATTCAGTTAGCTTTTTAGTTTAGAGTTTGTACAAACGTACCCTGGGACCAATAAGTACACCATTGCGCTCATCTGCAAAGAATCACGACAGTGAAGTTCGAGACTATTTCAATCACTCGTTGATTTTGGTGTCAGGTTGTGCAAGTCAGTTGGGAACAAGGATTACCTGAGAGTTTGAGACGACGATCAGAGAACATACAAGGACGCTGAGGGTCGAATTGTGGATGATTGGAAGCATAAGAAGCAGTGTAGTAATTGAGGCCAATGAAGTCAAATGAACCCTTCAGAAGATCTGATTGGTGGGATGAGAACTGTGGCAGTCTGCTTCCTATATAGGACTTCATAATCTCCGGATAGTCGCCGTGGAATATAGGATCCATGAACCTGCAACCCAAATCCCCAAAGCTTCATGCTTTGGCAACAGATATGGAGATAAACCAATTTGACGGGAGAAGGGGGATGATCTACCCACCATCCATACATGAACTCCACGGCTCTCTGAGCTGCCTCTTCATCTTCCTTGCTGTCAGAGAGTGGCAGGAACCAGTGTGACACATTCGAAATTCCTATGACTCCATTTTGAGTTGCCTGAGAAGTGTTCAAGATTCAATTAGCTTACACGTCAAGTTCAATTAGGTGCTAATGAAGATTGACTTTCCACCTGATATTTAAGCCTGTAGAGGTTGACAGCAGCAGCATGAGCGAGGAGCTGATGGTGAGCAGTGACATAAGGCTCAGTCCCAGAATCACCACCGGTGCTATCGTCTAGCTGCCAATGTGAGCATCTGAAAGGGGCGATTCTTAGAGGTCCGCCAGCATACCCGCCAGAGCTAAACGTCCAAGGCTCATTGAATGTGATCCAGTGCTTCACTCTGTCTCCAAACTCCCTGAAACACACCTCAGCATAATCCTCGAAGTCTTCACTGCATCATAATAAAATTGTTCTGAAGTGTCAGCAGAGTAGAGAAATGACTGCAGACTAAGGAGATATCAGGTGAGTTTAGTTTTTACACAATGTTAGAAGACAGGAAGCCGCCATATTCGTCTTCGAGGCCTTGAGGAGTGTCCCAGTGGAAGAGTGTGACAAATGGCTGCATCCCTAGAGTGAAGTTGCAGATTGAAGAAGTTGAATGACTAACTGACTGGTAATCAACTGTGAAAGAGATAAGATTTTGTGCTTGAAGAAGGTTTAAGATTACCATTGGATAGGAGAGAGTCGATGAGGTTGTTGTAGTAATCAACTCCTTGCTTGTTCACTCCTCCACTCAACTTTCCAGCTGAAATCCAACCAACCACCTTTGAGTAAAAGAGGTAAATGTAAAGGGGGGAAACTATGGAGGGCAGGTTCGCGTTACTTGGTAATAATCTGGACCAGGCAAATGAGAATCTGTAAGCATTGAACCCCATTGTTTTCATGATCTCAATATCTTCCTGCATTTAACAATTTGAAGAGCTACTAATGTCAGGGATGCTGCTACCTTGCTGTAGCTTATGCTCAAAGTTCTTCCTTTTGTTATTAGTACACAACACAGACCCATGATGCAGAGTGGTAGCTACCTACCTGGTAGCGATTATAGGAATCAACTGCAACGTCGCCATTGCTTCTGTCCTTTACCAATTCTGCCCATGAGGAAACAAGAAGAAAGCTATTGAAGAAAGGGAAATTGCACTGTGAACCAATTAGTGGGGAACTGTGAAGTGGGAAGTTTGTTGACCTTGATGTGTTTGAGTGTAAGTGTCCCAAATGCTGGGCCCCTTACCGCCTTCTCTTGCACCTCCTTCATACTAAAAACTTCAATCGATCCATTTTAGTCCATTTTGAAGTGGTGATCATGATATGGGGGAAAAGAGGGTGAGCATCAAATGATTAAGCAACCTGGTAAGCTGAAGAAGCGGTTCCAAACATGAAATGGGAAGGGAAGTGAGAGCTGTTCAAAGATGATGCCTTGCTGCTACTTGCACTAACTGTTGCATTGCACACAAGCTAGTGAGTGCCAGGGGACATACATTAGATGAAACTTTATCCAGTTGGTCAGTAAACTTCAATTACCTTTCAGAGTAAATGGGATGCAACGACGACAATTGTACTGCCTCCTAAGTCCGGCATTTCCCCGCCGTGGGTACTTAAACGCCGATAACTCCTCCGGTGAGGCATGTACTGTTAATAAAGACTCTCCAACTCTACAACGATAAACAAACCGATGATGAAGAAGAAGAAGATAATGAAGGATACGAAGGAAGGTTCGGTATCTTACGAGATGCCATCGATCGGCCGGCGACCTTGTATGCCGGAAAAACTGCAGGGTGCCACAGTGAACGTTATCATTTTCTTTCTGCAGGGTACACAGAGGCAGGGGTATCTTCCTCAATGGCGCACGATACTGTAATGATTAGGGATCTGGCTAATGTGACATGGTGGGTTTAGGTAGCTAACATTTATGGTTGGGACCAGGGAATGATCATTGATTCATGAGTCGCATCATCAACTACAGTCTTCAGGGAGGCGAATGTTTTTAAGTTTTAAGGAAGTGGAAAAGATGAGGGCGCCACTGAGCGAGATGAGAGGTGAACGCAGCTCCACGTCATCTTATCTATTGAAGTTTGAGTACACTCCGTTTCTGTATCACTTTATTCCACTGGAAAAAGAAATATTTTGTGGAAATTAGAATATTGATTTAGTTATCCAGAACTCCAGAAGGGAGAATTTTTTTAAAGAAGGTAATATCTAATCCGCTTTAATATTGAACTTTTTATGTACAAACTTGATCTTAATTTGAGGGTCGGATCGAATGGACTGAGATATGAGACCATGGATCCTATACAGGCATCTTTACTTCATAGTCTTCTGGAAGTTGTCTTCTCTTAAAGTTTGAACTAATACATTACAATCTAATTGGGCGACACATTTATAATCATGTTCTTCAACTAATTTGAGACCTTCCAAAAGAATCTCCGTTTCCGGCTTCAATAAGGGCACAACAAAAGATAACCTTATATTCAGTGGGTGGGAGATGCATTGTATTACCAAATTTTTTTTTAATAATAATGTATATGAAATATGAAATTTGAGTCATTAACTTATTGATAGTAATTTAAGTATTTGTTAATGAACTATAAAATAAATTATATTCAAAATTGGTAGGTTTATGATAAATCTTAAGTTCCGAGCAAGGTTGTCAACCCGCGGGTTGACCCGGACCCGGTCGAGCTAGTGGGTCAAGGGTTATTGGGTCAACCGTTTTAGCCTGGTTTGACCCGGAAATATGGAAAGAGTCATTATATTGTATTTATCCTAATAAATTATATCAAATCTTATCTAACATATGAGTTATAACATATAATATTACACCAAAATAACATATCGTACTTAGATCCAACATATAGTGAAAATTCACACACATTTATGTAACATGAATATTCAAATGTTCAATTTAGGATTCCAAAGATTGAGTTAGGCGAAAAGAAAAATTGGAAAATAGGCGCATTTCGCAAACTAAAGAAAAAAATGACAAAATTTGACCTCCAACCCGCTACCTTGTAGCGGTCAGCCCGGCGGGTACTTGCAGCCCGTTTTTCTCACCGGGTCAGGGTCGAATTGGGTCGACCCGTGGGTTAACCCGCGGGTTGACAACCTCATTTCCGAGTGTATAAATACTAGGGGTGGGAAACGGTTTGGTCCGGTTAAAACCGGGCCGGATTAACCCGGTTTTTTACAACCGTTTTAGCCATATCAGCAACCGAGAATTGGATTGGATGGGGATCCGGTTTCAACCGTGACCGGATTGATCCGGTCCGGTTTTAACCAAACAACCGGGTTGTGCAGGTTCCCACCAAAACGTTGTCGTCTACAAATTAATAAAAAAAAAACAAAGTGTGGGACGCTCCTCTTCCCTTCCTCCTAGCCGCACAATTTTTTTCTTCTCAATCGTCATCTTCTTTCAGTTTCTTCTCTTCTCCCTCCCCTCTAGCCCTCTTCTTTTACAAACGACGATGGCGAGCGGCCCTTTCACCTGTGAAGCCGATCAAGCAAGGCGTCCAACAAGCTCTTCTCTTTCATGTTTACAGGTGATGACGAGCAGCAAGCAAGAGGCAACGACGAGAAGACACAACGGAGAGCGGCAAGCAATAGGTCGCCGATTGACGAAAGTCCCAAGAGCGAGATCGAAATGGGGATTGAAGGAAGCGATAAGCAAAGAGGAAGGCTTGACGAAGCGATTCACCACCATCTCCTCCTGGTTTCTCCTCAACGAATCGGTCGTCGGCGAATCGGACAGGAAGGAGGCTACTGGCTGGCCACTCGATTTTTTCTCGTCTTCGCCAAGCCTCCGCTGGAATTGGAAATGGAAGAGAGATCGAGGGAAAGACAGCCGCTGAGAAGAGGTGTTGCTTCTCGGCGTTCTCGCAGAGGTGCGGCTGCGCGAGGCTCGGCTGAGAAATGGATTAGGGTTAAGAGGGATTCACTTGGGATTGGGCTTCGTGTTTGTTGGGCTGGGGATGAGTTTTATTTTTTGTTTAGGGCAGGCTTCATTTTACAGATCAATGGGCTGGTTTTGGGCTTATGAATTATGGATCCGGTTTTCCGGTTTTAACCGGATTGGACCGGGGCAGTGGTCAGTACAACCGTAAATTGGATTGGGTTGCTTGGAATCCGGTTTCCGGTTACAACCGGAACGGTTTAAACTGCCCGGTTTCCGGTTTGACCGGAAAACCGAGACTGGATTCCCAGCCCTAATAAATACACCATATTTATAAATAGTTACTAAATAGTGTGTAAATCATAATAGATAATTTGTAAATGTTGTCAATGTTTGATTTAATCCTAGAAACAATTTGTATGGGTCATTTGGATGGGGAAAATGTAAATGTAGTGCTACAAACATACGATAATTGTCAAAATGTGCATCTCAAACTTTTTAAAATGCATGAGTTTCAACGTATGGCCCTCAAAAAGTATTTGAAAATTACCCAAAAGAGTGATTTTGATGTCAAAGTATATAAATCTTTTCTTACTTACAATTTGCTACAATGACTTATTTTGAGAGATTATGGGCAAATTGGTTTGTTATTAATACTTCATCTAAATGATCACCTCAATTCAATACCCAAATTATCCATAGAGAATGGTCTAAATGTAAACACCTTCAAAGGTTTGCACGATATCTCGCCCCTATATTGTGTTATTTATCCATTTTAAATAATCCTTAAAGTGTAACTTGTAAGACTTGTATAGTCAAATTCATTTGTAGTAGAATCAATGCGAGTTTAGTTTAGTCACCATACAATCTGACATAATTAACTTTGAAATAATGAATTCATCATACAATTAGATGGAAGTTCGGGTGTGCAATTGAACCGAAAAAATCGACCATGTGACTGTACAGTGTACAGCCTTAACGGATAATTAAGAAATTGTTAAGAGTTTGTTTCCAAAACCAAATCTATATCTGTTTGGATAAATCTCCAACCTAACAGAACCAAAACTACCCACGTCGACTGACAGATAATAATCTATGCATTAATCTGATCCAATATACAATTAATCAAATTCCTTTTATCCACATATTTATCATCAAACAAACTCTGTTATATATATCCGGAGAATCAATATATATCCCACTTCCACCACAAGTCAAAAACCCTCTCTATATATAAGCGAGATAAGATAGATCGAGGTTAAGCAAACAACACCCTCTAGATCATCTCTGTTTCTCTTCCCTGCACTTTACTCCCAAACCCACCAAAGATCTCAACAATGGCACGAGACGAGGAGGCCACCGGCGGCCGGAAACCACCTTCCTACGGCGGAGAAGTCAATGCCTTCATCGTCACTACTTGCATCGTTGCTGCCTTCGGTGGTCTCATTTTCGGCTACGACCTTGGTATTTCCGGTACGTAGAAACTTTCCTGACCTACGTACACAACTCGTTGTTCCCCTTGTCAACATACCTATCAAACTAGGGTTTTAATTATGTGCAATTTTTTTTTTTTTACGGCAGGAGGTGTGACGTCGATGGATTCCTTCCTGATGAAGTTCTTCCCGTCGGTGTACAGAAAAGAGGTCGCCGACCAGAACCAGAACATGTACTGCAAGTTCGACAGCCATCTCCTCACCCTCTTCACCTCCTCCCTCTACCTCTCCGCCTTGGTTGCTTGCATGTGCGCTTCCACCATCACCAGGAAGTACGGCAGAAAATTGTCCATGCTCTCCGGCGGCCTCGTCTTCCTCGCCGGCGCCATCATCAATGCCGCCGCTGTAAACGTCGCCATGCTCATCGTCGGCCGCCTCTTGCTCGGCGTCGGCGTCGGCTTCTGCAATCAAGTATTCCCCTCTCTCCCCCCATCCTTTTCATTAAAACAAAAATGAAAACACCTTTCCCGACCGTAAAAATACGGTCGCTAACTTCTTATGATCATATGTGATTTTGCGACCGGGTAGCTCGTTACAAATGTTCGTGTTTTTGCGACCAGGAAGTCGTTACTAATAATTTGCGACTTAATTACTAGTCACAAATGCTTGTTTTTGCGACCACAAGGTCGTTACTAATTTTTTTTGCGACCACTAATGAATTTGCGACGGAAATCACAAATGCTTTTTTTTTTTTTTTGCGTGCAGTCGATTCCGGTGTACTTGAGCGAAATTGCACCGGCGAAATGGAGGGGAGCGATGAACATCGGCTTCCAAATGATGATCACCATCGGGATCCTCGCCGCCAACCTCGTCAACTACTGGACGGCGAAAATCGAAAGCGGCAACGGCTGGAGAATCTCCCTAGGCCTCGCCGCCGTCCCCGCCCTAATGATCACCGTCGGCTCCCTCTTCCTCCCGGACACTCCCAACTCCATCCTCGAGCGCGGCGACGCCGCCAAGGCCAAGCAGATGCTCCAGAAGATCCGCGGAACCGACGACGTGGACGCCGAGTTCGAGGACCTCGTCAGGGCCAGCGCCGCCGCCAAGAAAATCGACCGTCCCATGCGCCGTCTACTCACGGAGCGGCGTTACCGCCCCCAGCTCGTGTTCTGCACCTTGATCCCGTTTTTTCAGCAGGTGACGGGGATTAACGTCGTCATGTTTTACGCTCCCGTCCTTTTCAAGACCCTTGGGCTTGGTCAGAGCGCTTCTTTGATGTCTTCTCTCATTACCGGTTTTTTCAACGTCGTCGCCACTTTTGTCTCCATCTACGTCGCCGACCGGTTCGGTCGACGGTCGCTCTTCCTCGAAGGCGGCATCCAGATGATCATATGTCAGGTACGTAGTTTCCGTCAAAAATCGCAATTTTACGTAGAATTTTGACGTGGAAGTTTTATAACCTAAGCTTTTAGACTTTAAAAGCAGATTATGATGAAACCACGATTCTATGTAAAAAGCATTTTGATGATCTAAAAATTTAAAAGTTTACGACTTTAAGTCCTAAACCCCGCTTTTTTTTACCTACAAGTTTAATAACTTTAAACTTTTAAGTAGATTTTGACGGTACTTGTAAATGAACCACAATTCTATGTAAAAAGTGTGTTGATAATCTAATAATTTAAAATTTTAAAATTTTTAAGTTCTAAACCGCAATTTTGACTACATTGTGTATTCTATATATTTAGCGGAAAACACGGTATGTTAGGGTTTGTGTTTGATTGCAGCTAATTTATGTCGTAAAGGATAAAAATGTGTTGTTTTTAATTATGATACAAAAATTCTGATGTTGCAGAATTACGTGGTTTACTAATACGATAATTCTTGACGTTTTGTTTTGTGGGTGATTAGGTGGTGGTGGGGGGAATGATAGCGGGGAGTTTCGGGACGAGCGGGACGGGGCAGCTGTCGACGGCGGCGGCGGTGCTGGTGGTGGTGTTCGTGACGGGGTTCGTGATGGCGTTCGCGTGGTCGTGGGGGCCGATGGGGTGGCTGGTGCCGACGGAGATTTGCCCGCTGGAGCTGAGGTCGGCGGGGCAGGCCATGAACGCCGGGGTGAACATGTTTTTCACGTTCGTCATCGGGCAGTTCTTCCTCAGCTTGCTGTGCAATCTCAAGTTCGGGCTCTTCTTCCTGTTCGCGGCGTTTGTGGTGGTGATGACCGGGTTCATCTACTTTTTCCTGCCGGAGACGAGGAACGTGCCCATTGAGGACATGGGGGAGGTTTTCCGGCGACATTGGTTCTGGCAGAAGTATGCCGCCGTCGACGACGACGATAATAATAAGGGTGGTTCTGCTCCTAGGAGATCCGTTGAGTTGAAGTAGTAGTGCTTAGCTCGAAGTGAGGATTGTTTTTTTTTTTTTTCCTTTTCTTACTGCCTTTATGAAAAATTGTTAGTTTGTTGAAAATGTTGAGATTTTTCGGTTAATATTTTATAGAGAGATTTTGGTTTTCATCCCATATGTATAATTGAAATCTCGTTTTTAGGAACCGCAAATGGAGATACAACTCCTTTAACAAACTCTTTTTTTTATATACAAATTCGATTCCTCTTATTCCAACCCTAAACCGGAAAGCAAGTAACATTACAAAAGTGGAGCAATAATGTTACATACTAAAAGTCCGGGATCGACTTGTATATGGGCTTCAAGCAGAGATGGGATCGACTTGTATATGGGCTTGATCAGGAGCACCTTGAAGTGATTGGGCTAAAAGTCGGGCTACCTGGGCCGGGCCGACCGGCATAATGGTCAATCGAACGCGAAAGTCCGGAACGACGACTTCCACTTTTTGTTTTGATCACAGCCCAGCAAAACCTCTCTTCTTTCTCCTATTCTTTCCCCTGCTGGTAGGCTAAAGAAGACTTATTCCCCCAATTACTTCGCGTTGAGATCTCGCGCTGCCGTTCTTCTTCCCTCCGTCCAGGCTCTGAGTGAGAACGAGAGATCGGAAAAATGGCTCGCCAAGCCACCAGACTGGTCGCGTCTCTGTCCTCTAAGCTCCGCTCTCCCAGTCCCCAGATCACCCCGCTTTCGTCTTCCTCTTCATCGTCCGGTTCTCTGTTGCAATCGCGCTCCTTCGCCGCCGCTCCTTCCCCGCCGGCGGTCTTCGTCGACAAGAACACCCGCATCATCTGCCAGGGAATCACCGGCAAGAACGGGACCTTCCACACCGAACAAGCCATCGAATATGGCACTAAGATGGTAAACTCCCTACTTTTCTATCTCCGCCTTTCCCTCCGTTGCTACTGGTTCCATACGTTTCGGCGGTGGTGTGGTTGGTTCGGAATTAGGTTATTTTAGTAATCGAGCCGTGATCCTTCCGTGAGTGCCGACTGTGAGTAGATTTCCATTGTATTCATGTGTTGTGAGTATGGTTTTGTGGTGCTTGATGAAGTCTGCTCCCATTTCGAGTTCGTGGAGAAATGCGAAATTCAGTTCGTCAATTTTTCCCTGCTTGGGGTGTATTAATAGAACGCAGAGGATCTTGACAAACAAATGTCATTTTCTACTCGCTCTCTGGAAGCGGCTGTTGTGAGTTGTTTTCTTTTCAGAAATGGAATTGGTAGTTTCAATGTTCTTAGTCGTTCCTTGTGATTGCTGCTGAAACAGGTTGGAGGTGTCACGCCGAAGAAGGGTGGCACAGAACACCTGGGGCTTCCTGTCTTCAACTCTGTTGCAGAAGCAAAGGCTGAGACGAAAGCTAATGCTTCCGTGATTTATGTTCCTCCACCCTTTGCCGCTGCAGCCATTATGGAGGCTATGGAAGCTGAATTGGACCTTGTTGTTTGTATCACAGAAGGAATTCCTCAGCATGACATGGTAAGTGACTTCGCTGCCTTGCTGACAGTAATGTGACTGTCTTTGTTAGCTGATGGAGGTGTTAAGATCTTCTTGAAATTTGCTACCTTTTTTCATCTCTTTCTGTTACTACCTAGAGTTATGTAACCTGTCCTCTTGTTAGTTGATGTATTAGCCAATTTTAGAACAGCACTAGCCATCTCAGTTTGTCCTTTGATACGTTCGCCAACGTAACTTTGTATGTTTCAATCAGTGGAAGCTGAAGGATATCAATCTTGTAATGACTTAGACACGGTCTGACTGGAGTTTTTTTTCTGATCGCATGTTTATTATTTGAGATTGTGTTTTGCCTATATTTTCTATGTTGTTGGAGTTTTATTTAACCTTCATTTTAAAGGGGAGTAGCTCTGTTATCTCGTCATGTCTCTTTCCTGTTGTCTGTTTGAATGTCTCTCTTCAAATTATTATTCTTTACTGCCAGTCTGAGATGGATTCTGTTGGCTACAGGTTCGTGTGAAGGCTGCACTTCAAAGGCAATCCAAAACAAGACTAATCGGTCCAAATTGCCCTGGTATTATCAAACCTGGAGAGTGCAAGATCGGAATCATGCCAGGATATATTCACAAACCAGGGCGTATTGGAATTGTTTCTCGTTCCGGCACATTGACGTATGAGGCTGTGAGTGCTGATCTTTCTGTTGAATTTTTAGTCATTGCCTGTCGCTGATTTCTCATGATAGATTGATACCGTGGTTCTTCATTCCTTGTTACGTTTCTCTATTCTACCTGTTGATGGTAATACTGTTTATCAACACAGATAGATGTCGTGGTTGTGTATATACGATGCAGTAAGCTCATGCATTGAGTATGTGATATGCATATGAATTTTAAGTAAAGGCTTGATTCTATATATTTTCAGGTTTTCCAAACAACAGCAGTTGGTCTTGGGCAGTCCACATGTGTAGGTATTGGTGGTGATCCTTTCAATGGGACAAACTTTGTTGACTGCATGGAGAAGTTTCTGGCAGATCCTCAGACTGAAGGTAACCCCAGGCTTGAATTGGTCATAACCATATCTTCTGATTACAGGATTCCTGTGTTTTAAATGCATTTGGGATTAGTTCAAATGAGAAAGGACTGATCACTAACTCATACTGAGCATCAACAAAGAAGAACCTAGAAGTAACCCTTAAGTCATATGCCTTACTAGATCCCACAGTCCTGCTGCTAAGCTTTCTAGAAAGCTTAGCTGATTTTGTATCCGTGTTCAGTGACAATTACAATAGCTTAATATAAGCTTGCAAGTAATTGTAATGATGATTATTGTACACGGTTCCTTCACAGGTATCGTTCTTATTGGTGAGATTGGAGGTACGGCAGAAGAGGAGGCTGCTGCTCTCATAAAGGTATGAGTTTTGAATAAAATGTCATCAATAGGTCTGTTCCCTTCATGCAAAGAGTATATTGCTCATGTGGTGCATGTATACTGCATTTTCTTCTTAACGTCTAGATAATAGGCATGTGAACGGGAAAAATAGACTAGATTGCCTTAATTAGCATGTACTCTAGGATGCGTTTAGAGTTTTTCTTTAGTCCCAAGTATCTTTAGAAAAATAAAATCCGGAATACCGTAAGGTGATTCACTTTAATCCTGGCATGTTTAGTAATTCTGCATTTGTGTTTGCGTTTGTCAAGTTGCTGAATTCTCGGACTCTCAATTGATAAACTGTGAGTGTACTAGACATGGAATGGTGGATTTTGAATAAGATTGAGCCACAAGTTAATTTGCTGAATCACCAGAGCTGCCCGGGGTGAAACTAACAGGGTTTTCATCTGCATAACATAAGCCCTCCTTTTTCTGCAACACTACCTAAAACCAAACCAGAAAATTGATTCTTGAGCTATGAGATATCTGTGACTTTTTGGGATTTGCTACCCACTCTCGAAACTGAATGCCTATGTGTTTGCTATGAGTGGAAACAGGCAAGCAAGACAGAAAAGCCAATCGTGGCATTCATTGCTGGACTCACGGCTCCACCTGGACGTCGTATGGGCCATGCTGGAGGTACTACTTCATCCACTCCTAGTATAGATTGGTGTATTGCGATTTTTACCTGGTTCTCTTCCTCTTACATTCTCCAATCATTTACCTCTGGTTGGTGTGTGACGCAGCTATCGTATCGGGCGGTAAGGGAACTGCACAAGACAAGATCAAGACACTAAAGGAAGCCGGAGTGACCGTAGTCGAATCTCCAGCAAAGATTGGTACCGCCATGTTCAACGTGTTCAAGGAGAGGGGTCTGGTTAACTGAAGCGTAAGCCGTGTTTCTATCGAGGAGCAGATTTGACCTTGCACTCTTGATTTGCATAGCCTTTTTGTTTGTTGCCTGAACAATGTTTTTAAGGAGTTCGGAGGAATTTTCTTGATTGACAAGGCATCAGCCTGCCCCCTGAGAGCTGTAAAAACCTTTGTTTTTTTTGTAAGAGCTCCCTTTTACCCTCTCCCCTGCACTGCAGTGTTGACAATAATTTTTTACGCTGAAGGTTAAAGATAAAGACCCCCTTTTGAAGGGCTGAATTGCTATTTATAGTCCTAACTTTTTCTTATTTGTAGCCCTAGGAGAATATAATTACTATTTTACCCTTCCTTCATTTTAAAATATTGAACTTGTTACAACTCCAACCAAACACTCCCTTCCTTTTAAAAATAATATTAGAACAAATTTTTCTAAACAATATGGTAATTAAAATATTCATAAAATAATGAACTGTAATAAAATCACTAAATGTTCTTAAAAATCTAAATTATTCATCAATCTATTATAAAAAATCTAAAATAATAACCGAAAAATCTAAATTAATATCTATTTAAAAAATATAATATACTTCACAAATTTAAATTAACAGAAAATTAAAAATAAAATAAAAAATCGGCGACGTCCCGGCAGGATGTTCGTCCGCCGCCGACGACGTCCCGGCAGGACGTTCGTCCACCGCCGGCGACGTCCCGGCAGGACGTTCGTCCGCCGCCGGCGACCTTCGTCCGACGTTCCGGCAGAACTTCCGGCCGTCGCCGGCGACGACCCGGCAGAACTTCCGGCCGTCGCCGGCGACGTCCCGGCAGGACGTCCGGCCATCGTCGTCGGGTAATTTACCGGCGTACCTCGTCGGAGAAAGGGTCTGTCGCCGGCGGGAGGTGGCGGTCGCCGGCGGGAGGTGGCTGTCGCCGGCGGCGAGTATTGTAGAATTGTGTTTGGAAAAGTGTTTGAATGTTTTGGTCTTGAAACGTGTGAAGTAAATGTATTTAAATGTCATGGGTATTATTGTACTTTTTATAATTTAGGGCTACAAATAAAGATACTTTAGGGCTACAAATAGTACGCCCTTTTGAAGGGTAGTGGTTGTTTCTTTTCAGTTTTTACCATCAATAGCGAGAGCCAAGAGAAGAAAGAAAAGAGCAAACTTAACTCCAGAGGTGGGCAAAACCTGCAGATGAAGCTACAACAAAGTCAACAATGGCTGCTTCTACAATCTAAAACTCCATACGAAAGCCAGGAGGCAGAAAAACATTAGACTCGCGAGGCAACGTTTTCACTTCCTCAATACTCCCATCCCCCAACTGAAACACCCGAATGCTCTCCGTCCTCATCATGTTCCTGGCCACATAATCATCATCATCGGAGTAGTAAATGCAATCCTTCTTCCCGCCGGCGATCTGCGCAGCCGGAGCCGAGAAACAACACTCCGTCGTCAGGACGAACACTCTACCATCATCCCCCAACGACTTCACCTCAACCCATTCCCCGATTTCCTCATCCAGCTTGTAGACCTTGAAATCCACCGCTCTAGGGTTCCACTTCCTTCCCCTCCTCGTCCCCACGAGGAATCGGATCGGATGGAAGCTGTTGGTAATCGCATCATCCACATCCTTCCAGTTCCTCCTCCTCCCGCTCAAGTACCGATCCACCAAGTACAGATCTCCCCCGGACTCCACCAGATTCTTCTGCCCGCCGCCGCTGGAGCCGTCGCGGAGGAACCGCGGCGAGGGGTAGGATTCGTCGAATCTCAGGGACGAATCGATCAGGGACAGTTTCCCCAATCGGTCGGTGACGTAGTACTGACCTCGGTGGATGATTACATCGTCGTAATCGAAGCTTCTGCCGTCTAACAGAGTCCAGTGTTCATCTCCGTTTCTCCAGTAACCTATTCTGCCTTCGTGGAAAATCGCTATGACGGTGACAGCCGACTGTTGGGGCCGGGGAGACGCCGCGGCGGCAGAGGGGGGAAACGGAAGAACCTTGTTAATCTCGAAGGTTGGGCATCCGACCTGGAACCTGAGGCGGAACGAGGTGGTCAATTGGACGGGGCGGAAGTCGAGCAAGCTCAATTGAATCGGAGAGTAGCGGATCTTGAGGTTGGAGATTGGGTTCAGAAGCTGCAGCTTGCCGCGGGAGGTTTCTTCGACCTTGATCAGCCAACCGCCGCCTCCCCGCGGTGCGTCGTCGCCGGCGGGGGAGGTTGAAATTGAAATCGAATCGCCATTGGGAATCGGAGGAGGCTGAAACTCCACACAGCACATGGCGGAGGGAGCGAGGACGCCGTGGACGTCACCGGGGTAAGGGAGCCTGACTTCAAGGGGCGGAATCAGTCGGTCGAAGGCAGGGGCGGGGACGGCGGAGCGCCAGTAGTAGCAGACGGAGCGGAAGGTGAGAACGTCGATGGGACGGTCGATGCGGCTGCCGATGGCTTCCAGCATCTCCTCGGGGAGATCTGCCCACGGCGAGCCACCGCGATTCATCGTCAGATTGCTACCTCCCGAGTGGAAATTGGCGTTGGGATTTTTTTGGGGGAGAGGTCGATTTGCGGTAGGTGGACGGTGGTGGGTAGCAATAGCATCAAGCTGCCAAGTGCCAAGCACAACCACCATTAACGGTGGAGTTTCATGTCGTAATCCTCGATCCGAATCTTTTCTGCCGTCGTTTCGTTTTGATTGATTGTTTATTGCTCGTCTGGGTCGTCGACCCATGAAACACGACAACCTCATTTCATTTCCATTTTGTATTTCTTTAAGGTGTCACAGTCTGGCTGTCCCTCTCCAGTTTCGGGTTAGTGATGGTCACCGTAAAAATGTCCCTTTCCACGCCATTAGAATTTAAATCTCCTCGGCAGGTAGAAGAAGAAGAAGAAAACTATGGCATCATTGAAAGATTGGGCTTAACTAATTTGAGCCCATTCTTTTGTCTTGGTTTATTAATCTCTTTATTTTGGCAGATCAAGTTTCGGCCCATTCCACCACGGGCTAAACAAACAACGAAACTACGAAAGGATTTGTTATTCGACAGTTCTATACGTAGCAAATTTCAAGAAAGTTCTATACGCAGCAGCGGCTCTGTTTCCTCAACACTAAAAAAGTTAAACAGAGAGATCAAATCCAAGTAAAAGGTTGGAGGAGAAATATGAATGCCACGGGAAATTGTTATTCGACAGTTCTATACGTAGCAAATTTCAAACAACATAGCAATCGAACAGACGAATTTACAGTGGTCCACAACAAACCAGGTGAAGCTACAAACAACAATGGCGGCTCCGGCTCGTTCTTTATCTAACTAAGACTCGGCGCGAAATTCACGAGGCAATGATCTCATTTCCTTGATACTACGATCCTCCATCTGAAACACCCGAATGCTGTCGGTACTCAACGGTTCCCTGCCCACATCAACATCATCATCGGAGTAGTAAATGCAATCCCTTTCTCCGCCGGCAATGTGTGCGGCGGGAGCAGAGAAACAACACCCCGGCGTCAGCACAAACACCGTATCATCACCGCCCAACGAATTCGCTTCAACCCATTCCCCCATCTCCTCATCCAGCTTGTACACCTTGAAATCCACCGCTCTTGGGTGCCATTTCCTGCCACTTCCCAGACCCACAAATTGGCGAATAGGGTGAAAGCTGCTGGCAATGGCATCCTCCACATCCTTCCAATTCCTCCTCCTCCCATCCAAATATCTATCCACCAAATACAAATCTCCCCCGGACTTCACCAGATTCTTCTGGCCGGAGCCGCCGCGGTGGGGGAGCGGCGGCGCTGAGCAGGATTTCACGAATTTCAGGGACGAATCGATCACGGAGAGTTTCCCAAATCTGTCCACGACGTAATACCGACTTCGGTGGATGATTATGTCGTCGTAATTGAAATTCATGTCGTCTAAGAGAGTCCAATCGTCGTCTCCGTTTCTCCAATACCCTATTCTGCCTTTGTGGAAAATGGCTATGACGGTGACACTCTGCTGTTGAGGCAGGGGATTTGCAGAGGGGGGAAAGACGACGACTTTATTCACCTCGAAAGCTCTGAATCCATCCCGATATGTGAGGCGGAACGCGGAGCTAATTTGAACAGTGCGAAACTCGGCCGAGATCAATTGAGTCGGAGAGTAATGGTGCTTGAGGTTAGAAATTGGGTCCACAAGCTGTAGCTTGCCGTGGCTTGCTTCTTCGATTTTGACCGGCCAACCGCCGGCGACGGCGAAGGTCGAATCGCCATTGGGGATCGGAGGAGGGTGAAACTCCACGAAGCACAGAGTGGAGGGAACGAGGACGCCGTCGACGTCGCCGGGGTAAGGTAGCCGGACTTCAATGGGCGGAATTGGATGGTGGAAGTCAGGGGTACGGACGGCGGAGCGCCAGGAGGAGCAGACGGAGCGGAAGTTGAGAACGTTGATTGGGTGGTCGATGCGGCTGCCGATTGCTTCCAGGATCTCCTCTGGAAGATCTGCCCACGGCGAGCCACCGCGATTCGTCATCGTAATGTTGCTCATCCAGCTCACTCCGAGTGGAATTAGAGAAATGTAGACGCCGGCGGGGGAAATTAGTGCTGGGGGGATTTTTTTTAGTGGTAAAAGTACATAATGAACAAACCAAACCATCGAATTTCCTTTAATAATCCCCGATCCGAATATTCTCATATACTCACAACCAATAAAATTAAGTTACGTGGATACAGCCACATTATTTAATTATTATCTTTTGTGAGTACTGAGTAGCTTTTTCTGCTTGGCCAATTATTAATCAATTGATCTCGTTTCGTTCAATTTAGGTCACATTATTTGCAAAGAAATGTAATAGAGTAGAAAATTCACGTAAGCCAAACGAAGCCACTAAAAACTGAAAGATGGACTTAATGTGAATTCAATCAAATGTGAGAAAAATTAACAAGTGGGGCTTTTGTATTAAAAAATTATACTTCAGATACCTTTGTGTAATAAAATAACATCTCCCAAATCCCCTTTTCCTTCCCAATCCATTCTCGTCGATTTCCTCTCTTCTTCCTATCTGTCATCTAATTAAAATATAAATCGAGCCCAATAAAGAATTCTCTTTCATGCTTTCCTATCTATCTTCTATCATGAATCCTGTCCCTACAACCACAACCAATCTCATTCCACCACCACACGATATCTTCCCTATCGTTCCTATATCGCCGGCGGTGACGGCGCCGACAAAATCTGCTCCTTTTGCGGTACCGGTGTTATTAGAAGTGAGTTTCACGCAAGATAACGACCCCTGTGATGGTTGATCATTTTCTACACTCGTTCGTACTATTCAACGCCGGCCACCACCAGTTTCTTGTCGGCCAAGTTTCATTGCTTTTGTGGGCCTGAAAGCCCATCCTTGACAAATAAAAGTAACAGACTACTTTTTTCGGGCCCATAATAACAGTACAGCGTACACTACTACCCAACTCCCATGCGGAAGGTCAAGGCGTGGCAAATGAAGCGTATGGATGTTTCATCCATGTCTAAGTAGGCCCTAAAAAATCATTGACCCGACCTTTTTAGATCCGTCTTGCTCTTAGAGAGTCAGATAGGGTCAAGAAGAAAATAGGGGCAGATCAGATCAGTTCAGTTATACATCTTGATCCTTTAATGGCGGGTAAGAGAAGATCAGGATAGGATCAAAGACGGAGTCAAAAATAATTTTCAACCTTACCTATGACCCCAATCACCATCCCGTCGCGCGCTACCCGAAAGGCGAAAGAAGTAAATCAAATAATCTACTAATCTTAATCGGTCCAAATGCGAAGCCCTAGGATTTTTGCGCCAATTCTTTTCAAAACCTTGCAAAATCAAAATAGAATCAACTTTTTTCTTCTACTAGTAGTTTCTTCTTCATTTCTCTGTCTTCTGCTCGATCTCCAGTGAATAACCGCTAGTACCTTCACCGAAAATGGAAGCGGCCGGGACCGGGATAGTGGTAAGGTTCACGCAATATAGGAAAGAGATGGAGGGTAATTGCATAATTTTTCTCCGTCGTACTATTCACCGCCGGTCACCAAGTCGAAGGGCTCGAATTTCTTGTTGGCCAAATTTCACTGCTTTTTGTGGGCCTGGGAAGCCCATGCTTGACAGATAAAGTAACAGGCCTCTTTTTTCGGGCCCATAATTACAGCAATGTGTACCCAGCCCCGCAAATTCCTAACTGGAGGTATGGAGAGCAGGCCACGCCACTGGGCCAACTGCTACGATGTGTAGCATGCATTACATCTTGAAAGCGTTATTGTGTTAGTTTTGCGTTTGTTTGTGGGATGAAATTAGTTACTAAGAATAGTAATTGCGAGAGGGGATTATTTTGATGGTGAAAACAAAGAAGAAAAACAAAGGCATGTAAATGAGGGTGATTTGTGAAGTGGACATGAAACCAAAACTATAATGGGGATCTGGATCTGTATTATTAGCGTGGCAGAATACAAGGTGGCAGCCAGCCAGCTTAGAAACAAAATTTCCTACAGAACGGTTAATATCTACGTAGGCATCAGTATATATGGATCGACATAATCAGGTGTGGTTTTAGTTGATCGTGTTATTTGTTGGGTGTACGAATTGGTTTCGTGCTGTATGGTTCCACTTTTATTTTATGTCCCCAAAGCGCCATAATGTAGGATTTGGTTTTATGGATTTATATGGTTATATTTTTTTCTTGCAAATAATACTGATGTGTGTATCCAACCATATTGGAGATTGCATGTTGCACAATCTGACAACATATATGCATGAGCTTGCCTCCAATCATAGCTAGCAAAATTCCTCACCTCAGTTAATTCTCCAAGCTAGGAACATATCCTTTCTTACATGATATTGGTCAAAGTGGGAAAGGATAAAAGAGGGAGGGAGAAGGCAGTAAATAATTCCAGGCTGAGGTAATTTGTTTGAAGTGGGTGGTCAAGTGGGATAGTGGGTAGAAGAATAATGATGATATATGTGGTTTTAATGCAGATTGCAGAGGGCAGAAAATCTGAGGAGAGATTAAGAAGAAGAAGAAGAAACCCTAGCAAGAATGGGACAGCAAGTCAGCCATTTATGGATTGGCAGTAGCTAGCAGGCTGGCCAGCTTCCTCTTTTTGGAAACTTAGAAATGGACTGTCATGTGTGCTTTCTGACTATTGGTTGCCACACAATGTGGTAACTTTTTTCAACCTTTGTTCTGTAACAACAGCACTCTTAATTAATTAGTTGAAAATGGGGAAGGAAGGAGGGAAGTTACATGGCAGTTTACTATTAGGCCGCTAAGATATTTTTAGACAATGAAGAAACCAGACTCATAGCTGTAATTTACTGAGTGTACACCAGAAGAAGGGTGATTTGATTTAGTCATTCTGTGTTTTTATCTTCTTAACGTGGTATTGGTTTCACAAGTTATAGCAAGAACATTGATGGGGATCAGGGTAACTTTTTTTTCTTTCTTTCTTTCTTTGAAATGGATGTATATACTGTATGGTAACTTATTCAGCATGGTTTCATGACCTATATATTTGGACTTCAAGGCTCAAGCCCTTGTTTATTATGTGCTTCATGACAGGAATTGACAGATCAAGAAATGGGCACAACCAACAAGAATAGACTATTACTGAACCTAAATTGAGAGATACGTACTCATGAGTTGGAAGGAAGGGGAACACACATTCGTTTCGATTAGGTCGGGGAATCGCTGAATGTAAAAATACATTGGTTGGTTGTACTTTCATTACACATATATGTTCTTTTTGTAAGGTACTTTCCTATTACTACTAAAAGTACTGCATCTACTTTGTATATTTCCTTTACTAGCTAGCAACATAGTATGCAAAGTGTAGAACGGTGTATATATATATATAGGCGAGTATTAAACGAATACTAGCTAGTATTGCGTAAAGTCTAACAATCCATTGACATGATTATATTAGTCATCATCCAAACTCGATCGAATACATACATAGTAACCTACCTACGGAAAATGGCCATCGGTTAAAAGAAGTTATCACCAAATTTGAAGATATGTATACATAGTTGCCAGGAGAGAACCCAAATGACACAAGTTTTAACTGAGGAGATTGGTCCAGCGACGAGGTGGTAAAAAGGAAGAAAGCAAGCTGGCTGGCTTGATGAATCAACTAGTCATGTGGGTTTGAACAGAACAAGTAATGAGTAGAGGCAGCAGACACTAGTAGTTCAGATTCTGAAGTCATTATTACTGTGAACTGTTATTCAAGGCTCGACAAAAAGCTTCAGCCAATGGGAAGAAGAGCAGAGGAGAGGAGTGGTGGCCCCATATTTTAAGGATAGGACAGTTACCTCTTTGTCTTCTACCCTTCTGTCATGCCCTAAACCCTAGAAGCTGTTGCAGTACTGGCCCTTGTTGTGGGGGCCGGCCCAACCAGTGGCCAAACCCTTTTACCATTGTGGTATATACAGACACAGGTTTGCTAACCAAACCATTGTTAAAATTGTCTGAATTTGGAAAGTTTGAGGTAGAGGGCATATGCAGAAAGCAATTACAGCCCCAGCCAGACAGCAGAGAGAGGAGAGAGAGAAGTGGTGGTGGTGGTGGTTGAGACTGAAGAGTTCAGAAATTTATGTAGTAAAGCTTTCATTTTTCATAATTACTTGGGGACAACAAACTAGTGTGTAATGTATTATATATGTATAAGGTTCTTGTATTTTTGTACAATGTTGATGTACACTTATAGCTGCTGGGAGGGAGGAGGGGTAGGATGAAAACAAAGAAAGAAAATAGTTTCTACTCATTTGTTCTTCCTATTATATAGTCCTTCTGCCCCTCTCCCAATTGGCAATCAGCTGCAACAAGAGAGAAAGGAAGCACAGAGATAGTAGAAGCTGAGGGTAGGTCTTTTCTTCTTTCTTTCTCTCTTCTGCTATATATACTCATTCCTTAGCTACTGCTACTCTCTCTTTTAACCTGTTCTTCCTTTCCTGTTCTGCTGCGTGTGTTTTCCAAGGAAAAAGAAGAAAATGGAACTGGGTTCTGGCTGTTTTTGTTTCATTTGAGGTTTCAGAGAGAACCATAGTACTGTGCTAGTATATATGAGCCTGATCATGTCTTGTATTCCCAAAATGCATGTGGATCACTAACTGAAAACTGATCTTCCTAAAACGCTTTTAACATTTTACTGCTATTGCATATATGTAGTACCTTTGATCTGCATGGGGGAAGAAGCTAGGGAGATCTTAATTAATTAGCTTCTCGCTTGGTTTGGCTAAGAAGGAACATATATTAATTGTATACTATCACTATGCAAACAAATTAGTCTCTTTGATTTAGTATTTTCAGTTGCACTCATGAGTTGATTGAAAAGTTGAAGGATCCTGCAGATTGGTTGGGTTTCAAGAACAATGGGGAGAGGGAAGATAGCGATAAAGAGGATAGAGAACCAGACGACTCGGCAGGTGACATTCTCGAAGCGCAGGAATGGGTTGCTGAAGAAGACCCACGAGCTGTCTGTGCTTTGTGATGCTCAGATCGGCCTCATCGTCTTCTCCGGCACCGGCAAGCTCTGCCAGTACGCCTCCGACCCCTTCAGGTCATCTTCTCATCAACAACATTACACACTACTTACAACTAATAAGGGCTTTTTATATATTGTGTTGTTTATGCATGTTCCTGCTGCATTAGTATATTAATTAATTTGTAAAAGAACACTATACATGGAGCTTAACTTAGCTAGCTAGGGTTTCAATCTTGAATTCCTCAAACAAATGAAATGATGATGGGTGTGGGTGCAGGATGGAGCAGATCATAGAGAGGTATCTGAAGGCAACGGGGACTCGCATCCCTGAGCACGACAACCGGGTAATTAATTATTACATTAAGTTCAGTTTAAGCCCGTAATCTCATTAATTAATCAACTTGATAAGTCAAGTAGATAATTAGCCAAAGTCATGGCAAATGCACCAGGAGCAAGTGCTGGGCGAGCTGGCGGTGCTGAGGAAAGAGACGAAGCAGCTCCAGCTGAGCATGAGGCGCTACACCGGCGAGGAAATGGCCGCCATCCCTTTCCAAGACCTGGAACAGCTCGAGCAGCAGCTCGAACGCTCCGTTGCCAAGATCCGCGACCGCAAGAATGAGCTGTTGCAGCAGCAGCTGGAGAACCTGCGCAGGAAGGTGATCATCCATCAATGTTATGTTCCACCATCATATTGCTTCATTAATCATGGCTACTATATATATGTTACTATTCGGCCTGAAATGGATAAATGTTGTTTGCAGGAGAGGATGTTAGAGGAGCAGAACAGCAATATGTATCGTTGGGTGAGCATATGTAGTAACCATATATGATCAAGGACTTTCCTGAGTTAATATAGCCATGATGATGATAAATGAATGAATGATGGATTCATGATATGGTTGGTTTAGATCCAGGAGAATCGGGCAGCGCTGGAGTATCAGCAGCAGCACCAGGCGCAGGTGGCTGCAGCAGAAGCAGAAGCCAAGCCGATGGAGCACCATCAGCAGCAGCAAATTATGCAGCAGCTACAAGAGCAGTTCCCGTTCTGCGGCGGCGAGCCCAGCAGTGTCCTCCAGCTCTCCACCATTCCTCCCCACTTCAGCCCTTACCATCTCCAGCTCGGCCAGCCCAACCCGCTCCATCCTCCTCCTAATTCCTCCACCGACCTCTAGAGAGGCTTCATCCTGAGTCCTGACCCATCTCATAGTATACATATCTATATCAATCTGTCTGTCTATCAGCTGCTACTATATATATCAATCTGTCTAGCAATCTGCTACTACTATTTACCATCGATCGATAAACTATGACTGATATTATATATGGTTCCACACGAAATTCAATTGTGTTTGATCTTCTTCATTTTATGTCTACTAATATGTCTATCTATACCATATGTTCACAAACATGGATACGAGGTTACAAGACCGACCATGAATCTCAACAAAATCAAACTAAACCACAATACTATACCCACGAGTTTTCTTCACCCCTTTCCTCTCCATCTCTCCTCTCGTGTTCCTACATTCATCCCACCTTTTCACCTCAGCATAAACATTTGCCAATCCGACATACCTCCCGTCGTTATCAGGCTGCATCTCTATCAGCTTCCTCCCAACTATCTCCGCAAGATCGAGCCTTTTGTGGTTCAAGCACCCATTGAAGAGAGCGCCCAACATAGAAGGAGTTGGCTCGACAGGCATTCTGCTCACGAACTCGTACGCTTCTGCCACCTGACCGGCTCGAGCCATCATATCCACCAAGCAAGCATAGTGCTCGCTCTTGGCCGCCATGCCATGCTTCTCAAGGCAATCGAAGAAGAACCATGCCTCTTTCACCAACCCTCCATGCGCACAAGCGCTCAACAAGCATAGATACGTGATCTCATCTGGTTTAATCCCGGTTGTTTGCATCTCGGAGAACAAATGTAGAGCTTCTTCTAGCAAACCATGTGTGGAAAGTCCACCAATTATGGCGTTCCACATCAAGACGTCGGTTTTCAGGACAGAGAACTCACGGAAGACCTTCAAAGCTTCATCAATCGCTCCGCATTTAGCATACATGTCGACGAGTGAAGTTTGCAGGACCAGAGTCTTGGGCAAGGAGTTGCGGGTAATGTAGTCATGCATCGCCCTGCCTTTCTCGAGCTCGCCCGAGTGGGCACATGCACTAAGAACGCTCACCATGGTTACTGATAGGAAGCTGAAAACCTGAGTTCGTATTATTGATTGACTGTTCTTATATAGCTGCTGTTACAAGTAGTGTAGCTAGAAAGTAGGAACAAACATAACAGAATATGAGAAATATATGATGCACGTTTAACAGAAAGAGAGTGTGGCTAACAATGCCATTACTCCTTATCACGCCCCCGCAAGTGAAGCCTCGAAGAGGTGAAACTTGGAGCTGAAAAGATGGAACGGCAGCCGATGGGTAATGAACTTGAAGGTGCTTCTTGGCGATCAGCTGCCTCTTGGAAATTGACTGGCAGACGTACTGCTTCCCGGTGGAATTCTCGATGCAGAGGGAAGGAACCCTGAATTGGCCCCAACCCAGTTCTTTCCTGATGGTGTAGTGGAGCTTGACGTCCTCGTAGGCCTGCCCGAGGTTGGTGTCGGGTCTTCCAGCCGGCTTGGGGCTCGGCGGAGCGAGGATTGGGGATGGCCCGCCCTTGCTTATGCAGGTACCAAGTTAATATCCAGCTGCTGCAGATAGCTTATCAAAATTATGGATCAGCCAGTGAAGGAAGAAGCGGAGGAGAAGAAATATGTCGGCAGGGGTTGAATTGAAGCGGGGAAAGCTGGGATTTGATGAGAAGAAAGATTCAGAGATGAGGAGAGATTTGATTGATTGTGCTGGAGACAAGCTGAAGGAAAGCCGCGTAGGAGTTTGAGTTTGTTTCTGAGAAAAGAAAGAAGGAAGAGGAGAGCGACGGAAAGGGAGAGGACAGCGAGTATGACTCAGTGTGTGCCGGTGCCGACGGCGGCAGTGGTGCTACTGGGAGGGAGAAGTAGAGAAGCGGAGACGAAATGGGAATAAGATTCTCTCCGGAGCTTTGAACAGAAAAGGCAACTGATATGAGTGTGGAGGTGAGAAAGACGCGAGATTGGAAGAAACCAGTTGGGGGAAACCAATCCAGCGGAGAAGAAGAAGGTGGAGGAGATGGCTGAGGAAGAAATCTCCATCGGAATTGCACTCGAGGAAGGGATTGGGAGAGGGATTCGGACATGACTTCGACAGTAAGAAGAAGGAGAAGTGAAGGCAGAGGAAGAAGAAGAAGGAGAAAGACTTTGGAACGAAGTAGCGATTGAACCGTCCCGGTTGACCTCCAAAGATGCTGGCTCAAATGAAGAGACCAGCTATAGCGATCGGCGGCAAGAAGCAGTCAAGGTGAACAGTAGATGGGTAAGGAACGACGAGTGATTAGGCCATCTATTATCTCTTTTGTGGAGGAAAAGGAAACCTATCAATCTAAAACAAATAAGGAAGAACAATGGAATTGTTTAGGGTTGGGATTGGGTTTTCGGGATGAAGGTGAAGGGAATTGATGATCATAAGATAAAATAAAATATAATAGGATTGATGATCATAAGAGAGAAGGGAATTGGGAGAGAAGAAAGAGGAAGGAGTAATCAGAGGGATGTATGGAAGCTAAAGCAAGAGGGAATTATGTGGACAACTAGCAGAAAGATGGATTTATTTGCGTGGATGATGAGTAAAGGCTTGTAAGCCTGGAGAATGGGAACTCATCCTGCCGGCGGAAACAAAAATGGAAGCTTTTAGGGTTGCTGGATCAATGAGCTGTTAAGCAGGGGCTCTGATACCATGATAGGAAGCTGAAAACCTGAGTTCGTATTATTGATTGACTGTTCTTATATAGCTGCTGTTACAAGTAGTGTAGCTAGAAAGTAGGAACAAACATAACAGAATATGAGAAATATATGATGCACGTTTAACAGAAAGAGAGTGTGGCTAACAATGCCATTACTCCTTATCAGTTACCTCATTGGCCTCGGTATTGGCAGCCCCTTGCATCTTGTTAAACATTACCAATGCTTCCTTGTATCCCCCTGCTTTAACATAGCCATCGATCAAGGAGCTCCACGAGACGACATCTCTGTCAGGCATTGAATCAAACACCTGACGCGCCAATTCCATGTTACCACATTTCGCATACCCATCCACCATTGAGTTCCACGAGATCAGGTTCTTCACAGGAATTTCGTCGAACACCATTCGTGCATGAGCTATATCCTTACACGATGCGTACATATGGAGCATGGAGTTCGCGATATATCTATCCGAATTGAACCCTTCCTTCGTAGTTCGGGCATGGACTGAGAGGCCGAGTTTCAGATCGAAGAGGCGGGACGAGGCCTTGAATAGAAAAGGATACGTGAGATGGCCAGGGGAAACCCCGGTTCGCAACATTTGGACAAAAGCGGAGAGTGCTCTGTTTGGGAATCTGGTTCCGGAGTACCTTCGTATGACTTCATTCCAAGCGAAGGTCGGAGCGGGATTCGGGAGGTTTGAGAGAACCCGGTAGCAGTAGTCCAGGCAATTCGAATTGGAGGGTTCAGAGAAAGACTCGATTCTGGAGACGAATGTATCGACCTGAGGGAGGCGTAGAGTGATGACCAAAGCGTGAATCTGCTTGAGCTGTGGCAATGAGCTGCATCTGGCGAGTATGGAGATGAGGGTATCGTTCTGGACGCCATTTTTGCAGAGGAGGGAAGACATTCAAAGACTTCGACTGATTAAAAACAGAGCGCGGACGCTCGCGGTGACGAGGAGCAACAATTGCAGAGCCCTACCATACCTTGTGCTTTAATTAAATGTTAATATTGAGGGTCATGGAGATTCGAACACACTACCATACCTTGTGCTTTAATTAAATGTTAATATTGAGGGTCATGGAGATTCGAACACACGACCACTTGGTCAAACCAGCTCTGATACCATGTCAAGAACCAGTTGATCCCAAGAACTCGAGTTGTTGGGAGAAGGTTCTGCTAGATCTTATACCACTCTCTAACAACTACGACCAAAGCTCATTTTCCCCGATAGTCTCAGCAAGGAGCATGGTTACCATTTCATACTCGTCCTCGTATGCACCGGTTATGGTTTAAACTTTAAACTCTAGTGTGTCATGACTAGTGATTAGGGTGTGCAACAGCTCGGTTTGAATTGAACAAAATTCATGAAAATTGTTGTTCAATAAAGACAGACATTTGAAGATCCATGACTAGACTAACATTGTACTCGGTACGCTTTGGTCCATTTTTATCAGCATTTATAAAATTCATATTGTATGCCTATTTAGGTGGTGTTGGCATTTATATACGGTTGCTTGTTGAATTTGAAAAGTAAAAGACTTGAACTTTTTAATTTTAAAAATGATAAATATATGAGTGCTCCGGGCCAAAGAAAATTTAGAAGTAAATCTCAAGGGATTGGGCCAGTGATAATGTGAGGATGAGAATATCCACTCCTCTAAATTTAAACATTGGAGCCAACAATCAACAAATAATTATTTTGGAAGAAAAATTGTTATTTACTTGTTGAATTTGATGAATTTTAGTGAATTGGGTGTATTCTGAAATGATAAATTGATTATGGGTTTTGGCCATTGGATTTTCTTTCTTTTTTGTGAGAGGCCACTGGAAATTTAGGGGGAAATGTAGTTTTTTTTTCCGATGAACAAAATGTAGTTTTCTTGTTGGATATGATGGAGAATTTTTGTGAATTAAATTGATGATAATGAAACACAATAACCTTATTGCCCTTTTGGGTTAATTGTAAGGATGGTCACTGAGTTTACTAAAACCGTTCATGTTTGGTCACTGCAAATATTTAATTCCATTCATGGTCACTAAGATTAGTTAAATAGTTCAAGTTTGGCCACTCTCCGTTAGTCTCCGTTAGTTTTTGCTGATATGGCAGTCAACTATTATAGTTGACCGTTAAATGAGTGACGTGACCAATAAAAAAATAAAAAATTTAAATATTTACAATTTCCACCTCATTTTACTAACTATTAAATATTTACAGTGTTTTTCCCAAATCACTGACACATTCAATCTCAGACATAAGTTCTTCTTCCGTGGACATATTCTCTGAAACAGATTCCTGTCTACGCTATTCAAATTCCTCCTCCGTTGAAAATCCGTCGGAATCGAAACCCATTTCTTCTTCTTCTTCTTCCACTGGACTATCAATAGTATCATCATCATCATCTTCATAAATGAATTTTGCGTTGCGTCTCTGAGCCTCTATTAGCTTCTCCATCAGGGAACGATCGAAGAAGTCCCAACCATTCTCTGCATCGAATTCATCTCCATGGAAATTCTTCTCATTGCAGGATTCGAATCGTTCATCATCGCTAATCTGCTCACAGACCGTGAACTTCAAAACCTTGGGCTCTTCCATGAATCTGGTCATCATTTCCCCAGACGAGACGAACTCATACTTATTACCACCACTTTGCACCGATGGAACAGTTGTGTCCAATTCAGCACCAGTCTTCTCCAATCCGCCATACGTACACCCATCACAATCATCTTCCTGTTCACGAATTACAGCCGAGTAATCGTCCTCCTCCTTCTTATCCTCGGAATTCCCTCCATTCTCAACTTCATGGAATCTGCCAGAGGAAGAAGCAACAAAACAGAAACGAACTCCAACTTAGAAGAAGAAGACCAAAAAATCCTAGAAAACAGGGTAAGAAAAAAAGGAAAGAACAGAGGAACTGAATTACCGGAAGATGAGCTTGAGAGAGGATCGAAAGAGGTGGGAGAGGAGCAAACAGAGACGAGCCCAGAAACAGGGGAGCCCAGAAACAGGGGAAGTTCGGGGACATATTATGATCTTGTTGTAAGATGAGGTGTAAGATGAGGTGGAAATTGTAAATATTTAATTTTTTTAATTTTTTAATTTTTTTATTGGTCACGTCACTCATTTAACGATCAACTATAATAGTTGACTGTCACATCAGCAAAAACTAATAGAGACTAACGGAGAGTGACCAAACTTGAACTATTAAACTAATCTTAGTGACCATGAATGGAATTAAATATTTGCAGTGACCAAACATGAACGGTTTTAGTAAACCCAGTGACCATCCTTGCAATTAACCTTGCCCTTTTATAACAACTTTTCTATTCTTGCTGAACTTTCACATGAAACCAATCCAATCCAATAATTTACTGACAGAGCACTTCTACTATGCTATATAGTATTGGTGCTTTAATGTACAACTTAAAGTTGTACCATAACATTAAATGTATAAGTTTAGGTTGTACCATAAAGCAATTTGTACCATTATGTTATGGTACAACTTTACAACTTGAAGTTGTACCATCACATAAAGGTACAAGTTCAAGTTGTACCATAAAAGAATTTGTACAAAAAGTATAGGTACAATCTGAAGTTGTACCATAACGTAAATGTACAATTTTAAGTTGTACCATAAAAGCAAAATCCTATAGCACCAATACTATATAGCATTGTAAAATTTCTCTTTACTGACAATGTACCCTATTATTATATTATAGATTATAGATGAAGAATTATAATGATTATAATCAGAACCATTAATCTAATGATTTAAAACCAACCCTTAAGCATCGGCGTTAAAGAGAATAATCTCACGTCAAGTAACTTGTGAAACGATAAGGGTGAACAAACATGTGTTGGTGGCTTGGTGCCTGATTCAGGAAAAGAAAAGAAAAGCCGAACAGAGACGTTACTTCCCCGCCTTCAGAAATCACGAGAAAGAGAAAACGACGAAACCACCGACAAATTCCCAGAACCAGAAGTGATCTCTTTTCCCCACTTTCGAAACACCAGGTCGGAGAAATAATGTCTCATGCGGAAACTTAAATCCCAGAATCATACCCTACAATTACATATACACTGAAATACAGTATTCAAATGTCCTAGGCTTCCCGCTACCCTTCCCCCTCAACGGAGCTGTCCCTCCAGACATTACCTATCACAAAAGCTAGGACGACTGGCTTCCTCCGGCCACCGTCAAAACCTCTGTACTGCAAACAGGACATACCTGCGCAAAAATCACATCACAGTAGCAGCTGTTGTTGTTACACATGGATCCGAGCTCCACACCAACGCGTCTATTGCAAAATCAAAACCACGCACATTTGCAAACGGACCGTACTGAGACGTTTTCATTTCAACAACTTGATTACCTTGTTTATTTGCAACCAATTGTTGATGCACTCTGCGTGGTACGAATGTTTGCAGGAGAGTACCGTCACGGTCTCTTCATCCTCATAATCCAACCGACATATCACACACCTGAAACATATAGACCACTTCGAATTTCAAATTACAACTCTCGAGCATTCGAAGCCACCAGTTAAAATTAACACACTTACGAATCGCTAGTTCCACTCTCGTTGCTTCCGGACTTGTAGTTCACGCTGGGGAGGTTGGCAATGGTATCGGCTGACAGCCCTCTGCTTTCAGTTCCAACTACTTCTCCCAGAGCAAGCAGCTCCTGAAATAGTTGAAGTTAAATCATCAGAAAAGACAACAACCAAAGTTGATTCATTGGTCGGTCATGTAGGTTATGTTATCGCTCACCTCATAAGAAAGTTCATCTGGGTCAACTTCCTCCCATGTATCCTGCACATCCAGGGCTTGCCTATTAGCCACAGGAAAATTGTATATGGTAGCCTACACGAGCCTATGAACAGAGGAATAGGGACTCAATTTGAATACAGTAGCAGGTTGATTTATGCCTAAAATCCAATAGACCAAATGCCGTAATCAACATTTTTGTTTGCACTTCTATACAACCAAACGCGTACCTCTAGCAGGACTGCAGATACAACGAATTCACTGTGTTATTACAAACTTACTTCACCACTTGTTCATCTAATGTTTGCTCACTGATAACAACCTTGAAATGATGACTGATAATCATCCTCAGCCATGTGACTAACCTTTACCATGCTCAGACGCTAAAGGGAATTACCTAACTACTGGCAATTTGCTCCACCTAGCCACACGTAAACTCAGTACCACTTCTAGGGTAAGGGAACCCAACATAAATGTCTTAACAATTCAACCCAGTGATAACTAATTAACTAGCTCTCCTCGCTAAACCAAAAAAACGAATGACATTAACAGTTCATGCTGGGCTTACAAAGCCATAGTCAGATTAGCTTGAGGGCACACCGGAAATTACTATCACACGCATCAAAGTACCTAAGATACATACCGATGAAATTTCTCAAACTAGGCAAAAACCAAAATGAATAACATACTGATTGCCAATAACCAGTGTGAGGTGGACAAGAACACGATTTTCAACAATTTGTACCTGAGAATGGGCACCGTGCTGTTCAACATATTCAACTGCCCCTGAAATCAGAAGAAGAGATAGCAAGTCAGATCATGGTCCCCAAAATATGACAAAGTGTAGGCACATAAAAAGATCAAGCAAGGTGAAAAGCAAAAAAAGAAACATATGCAAAGACTGACTATCATTTATCCCAGCAAGGGCAAACAGTCTTGCAGCCATCTCTCTTTCTTCGTTGTCCTGTAACGCTCTAGCATAAGCCTCATCACTCGAAAATGCAGAAGGGTCAATTTCTTCAAGGTTGGGACCATCATCATCAACAACTTCAGCACGAGCATGGACGTCAAAAGCATCGACATCATCCTCACCCAACTCTCCACTTTCACCATACTCATGCTCATCATACTCATCTCCATCACTGACATCATCAGGGTCATCAAAATCTCCATCGTCTTCATCTTCTCCCAAATAGCTTCCACCTCCTACCCATTCAGTCTCTCCATCTAGGCTCATCGATGCACGACTTAGCATCATGTATGCTCTTTCCTAATTGCACAAGTGACCACATCAAAATAACACTCCAGAAAACAAAAACAATAATAATAATAAAAACAGAATCACAATAAAGCATATCCTGGTCGCTACCATGTTTCTCTCCCAATCCCATTACTGCAAACCGAATCCATCGAGCACAAAGACCGACTAGTGAGGACGCAAATTTTCTAGGCAGCTAAATCAGGGGGAAACACCTCGTCTCTAATGAACTTATTCTCTCTAATTAACTTATTCATTGCAGTTGAGCTCCCTACATTAAATGCAATAAATAAAAGACGGAACAGGAAAAGAAGGAAGAGAGGCGGGGAACCTGTTCTTGGAGGGTACGAGCGAGAGCGAGGTCAGCATCTTCCTGACTAAGATTAGTGAAAGGAGTCCTTGCGGCAGACTGGCGAGCAGGAGCCGCCTCCTGCTGTCGGTCTTCTTCCTCTTCTACTTCTTCTACCTCGTCGTCCTCCTCCTCGAGGTCGACGACGTCGCTTTCCTCTCCACCTTCTTCCACCGCTGCTGCTGCGGTCGCCGCTTCTCCATTAGTCACCGGAGCTGGGACAATAGGGTCTTTAGGAAGATTGTTTTCTTGTTCCCTAACGGCGGGGTCGTTAGGCTTGGGTTCTGCTTCCGAACCCGACTTCGAATTGGCGGTGTTGCTGCCGCTGTAATTGTTCTCCATAGCAATTCGATTTGCCAAAACCTAAAGAACTTCAACAAGGTGGGAGAACTGGAAATTGGGATCGGTTTCGTAATCAAAGGGTTCGATCGAATCAAAGAATAAACGAGCGGTATCTCCTCCTCGCTTTTTATATCTTTTGATTTTTGTAACCAAGAGAAAGAGAGGGAGAAAGGCAGAAAGGGAAGGACAAGAATTATTAGAGAGAAGAAGAAGAACGAGGGCGATTTGGAACAGGAAGTCGGCGTGCCTAAAAGGGTAAAACAAATGTTTAAAGAGGAGCAAATTTAAAAAAATTCATGCAAAATGGTCGCTTAGATCCTTGAAGTTTTACCTTCTTGGTCGATTGATCACTAAACACTTCTCCGTTTACAATTAGGTTTTCGGAGCGGACCCAGCCAGACCAGCACTATGAACCATGGGCCGGTCATGGGCCTGATAAGAAATAGAAAATTTCTACTGGCGGAACTCACCAGGTATGTTCGGCCCCGACTCTCAGGCCTAGGAAGACAGTCTTTGTTTGTCCAAACCACCACATGCAATTTTCAACCCATTACGTTTTTGTAATGAATTTTCTGTTTATTATATAAAAAAATGAATATTATGCTTATATTTTCACTTTCTTGTGATAATTACAATTTCGACTTCATCCGCATTGCAAAATTATTTGACGGACGGGTGCCTCCACGCCGCATGCAAATATTGGTTAATAAATAATAATCGAAACTGAAATTACAACTTTTTAACAATCAAGACTTAATTTGTCCGACCTATCTAGATATCTCAAGTTGATTTTGTTCTGATTTTATTTATCCAACCTACCTCTATTGTTCTAATAAGTTCGTGTTTTTAACAAAAACATACATTTTTGTTATCCTAATTCCAACAATATGTCGATATAGCACATGTGGTCGCATCTCATCTACTATTATTGTGTTATGTGTCATAGCTGAGCACACATCCTCTGCTTGAGAACAAGTTTTTTCGAATAAGTTTTTGATGCAACAATGGTAGCATATTTCATAACATAGTCTGGTCCAAACCCTCTACGTACTAGGCGGGACAAATGATGGGTGGCCCAGTTCGTTGAGCACAAAACAAAGCTCCACTCAGAGAATCTTCAATCAAATCCAACAATCATGCTCTCCTTCATTCTATCGCATATTCTTCCAATTTCAGTTTTATCTTTTTCTTCCTTCCATCCGATAATGAGCTACTTGCAATCAGTCTCCACAATCAACGACCAAATTCCTTTCACTGTCGCCCCTTAAATACTCAGAAGTCAGAAGCATGGCGCTCGCCTCTGCTTCTTCCACACTACAAGTTTACTTCTCCATTATTGTGAATTTAAAAATGAATAATCTCATCATCCTCATGAACAACACCCTCTGACAAGTCTCCTCATCGATTAACCATTCGTGCATCAAAACCCTGCTTGAAAGATCCCTCTATGTGACTTGATCCAATATTGGATCAAAGGGACATGGAGATATGGATCTGCTCTGTTCTATGCATCAAGCTAGTCATTTATCCACTAGGGCGTCTTTTTAGCAATTTCATCTCTTTCAATCTTCGATATGTTGAACCACTGATTGTTTTCGTGTCCCCTTTCTTATAATAGGAGATGTCAATTGCTCATTATCCCCAGTAGAGAAATCAGGTGGAGCCCCTTGGCGAATGGACAAAGCCCGGCCCCTTTGGGATTTTCTAAATACTCTAGGTCTACTAGAAGTGAGATTTCAGGGCCCAAAATTTACGTGGACTAACCGGGGTAGGAATGGAATCCTAATAGAGCAACAAATAGACAGAGCTTTTGTCTCATCAAGTTGGGTGCTCCAATGGCCAGACCCCTGCCTATATCACCTCTCAGACAAAGGATCAGATCATAGACTCCTATGCCTCATGACAACCCCGGAAATGTCTAGAGCTAAACGACTATTCCACTTTGATATTAGGTGGACGAAAATTCATGAAGCTAGACTCATAATAGACTATGTTTGGAACACACCCATTACTGGGTCCTTACAGTTTTGTCTATTCTACAAACTACTCAGAGTTCGCCACGCCTTAGTCGACTGGTGCAAAGGGGGTACCTCTAACTCAGCTAGACTGATAAGGGATCTCAATTCAGCTCTCGTCGAGACCCGGGAAAATAGCATAGTAAATTGGAACCTGATCCATTCTTTAGAAGAAAGGCTAGAGGTTCAGTATAGAATGGAGGAAATCTATTGGAGACAAAAGTCGCGCGTCAGCTGGTTAACAGAAGGGGATCGCAACACCCCGTACTTTCATATGATAACGGCAATCAGACGTCAGGCCAATTTCATCTGGGGCTTGGAGGACTCTAGGGGTATATGGTGTACAGACGGAGATCGGAAACTACGGATAGCAGTTGAATTTTATCAAACTTTGTTTCGGTCTCAGCTCTCTGAAGATATCAGCCTAGCTAACCTGCCATTTGAACGCTTTGTTTCTGAAGAACAAAATCAAGCTCTAGTTGATCGTATCACATCAGAAGAGGTCAAAGAAGTAGTCTTCAGTATGGGGAAAACCCAAGCCCCTGGACCAGATGGATTCACAGCTGGGTTCTTCCAAGCGTACTGGGATATAGTTGGTAGCGATGTCACTCAAACAGTACTAGCTTTCTTTTACTCTGGTCATCTATTAAGGTCTATCAATAGAACTTGGATTTCGCTTGTTCCAAAATCTGCAGAAGTTAGGTCAATGAAGAATCTCAGACCTATTAGTCTATGCCAAGTGGTTTACAAAATCATAGCAAAAATTCTGGCTAATAGACTAAGCAGGATCCTCCCCAGTGTAATATGCCAAACCCAGAATGGTTTCATCAAAGGGCGTCAAATCTCAGACAATATTCTAATTAGCCATGAGATTTCTCATCATCTCCGGACTCTGACCTCTGGTCAAAAAACATGGATGACACTAAAGTTAGATATGGAAAAAGCCTATGACCGTGTGGAATGGCCATTTCTTTTCGAGGTAATGGAAAAACTAGGATTTGATCACAAGTTTATGTCATGGATAAAAGAATGCGTCACAACAGTTTCCTACTCGGTTCTGGTAAACGGAGTCCCCTCTAGTTACTTCCGGCCCTCAAGAGGACTTAGACAAGGAGACCCCCTATCGTCTCTCCTATTTGCTATCTGTACGGAAGGTTTTTCGGCATTGATAAGACACTCAGTAGCGATAGGGTATTTGGAAGGAGTCAGAATCCGGGCAAATTGCCCAATGGTTTCTCATATATTCTTTGCGGATGACTCTTATCTCTTCTTGGAAGCTTCCCCGCAGTCTTGCTCAACAGTTCTGTCGCTATTCCAAGTTTACGAAGGCCTGAGCGGCCAAAGGGTTAACCTACAAAAATCAGCTGTTTTATTCAGTCGCAACACGAACCCTGACCTAGCGGAGGATCTAGGAAGACAATTAGGAGTGGGAAGCATTGGAGAACAAGATTATTACTTGGGACTCCCTTCAATCATATCTAGATCAAAAAGAGAGGCTTTCCTTTTCATAGAAGAGAAGCTTATCAAGAAATTACAAGGGTGGAAACAACGGACTCTCTCTAAAGCTGGAAAAGACATCTTGATTAGAACAGCTGCCACCAATCTTCCCGTCCATGGATTGTCGTGCTTCAAGATCCCAAAAGAGAATTGTAGAAGACTAAATAGTCAAGTAGCAAGATTCTGGTGGGGTTCAGCAGAGAACACAGATCACCCAATACACTGGGTATCCTGGAAAAGCCTGGCGAGTAGTAAATTTCTTGGAGGTCTAGGCTTTAGGGACTTTGGGGCATTTAACCAAGCATTGTTAGCAAAACAATGCTGGCGAATATGGCAAAATCCGGATTCCCTCCTAGCTTCAATATATAAAGGTCGATACTTTCAGCATGGTTCAGTGTTGGATGCTAACCTAGGCTCGAATCCTTCGTGGGGATGGAGGAGTATTCTGTTTGGAAGAGACCTCCTCCTCCAAGGGCTAAGATGGCAAGTTGGAGATGGGCAAGACATCGTGGCCTTCAAAGATAAGTGGGTAATTGCAGACAAACCCATCACTCCGTTGGTGCGCCTTTCGAACATTACTAACTCCCCAAGAGTCTCCTTCTTTATCAAGGAAAATAGAGGAGAGTGGCATGTCCCAAGGCTGCAGTATTGTTTTGATCCTATATCGGTAAATCTTATATGTAAAACCCCACTCCCGAGATGCCAACAAAGAGATTCGAGAGTGTGGCACTACACAAAAAGTGGTTCATACTCAGTCAAAACAGGGTACCATCTAGCTCTAGAGCTCTCCTTAGCTTCAAGCCGAAAACCACAGGTCCAAATCATTGACTCTCCTATCTGGAAGAAAACATGGAATATACTAATCACTCCGAAGCTGAAGTTCTTTATCTGGCAATGCCTTAGAGTGATACTACCAACAGTAGTAGCACTCAAGTCCAGAGGAGTAAACTGTCTAGCTCGCTGCCCAGTTTGCTGGAGAAGACAGGAAAGTCTCGAACATCTGTTCTTCAAATGCCCATTGGCCACAAGATTGTGGTCACTCATGGGTCTAAATGATTTCATCTCCTCGGCCCCGACTGTGAACTTCAGTCTCTGGTGGCGACATGTTATGCTTTCTGAGCACCCCCAAACCCACATTCTCCTATACGTTTGTGTATTATGGAGGATCTGGAAGTCTAGAAATAAGGTGGTCTTTGAGCATGTCCAACCTCATGCCCAGTCTCTCGCTCGTCAGTGTTTTTTCCAAGTTCGCGAACTGTCTTCCTCCCTTCCTTTGGTCCCTGCTCCGCCCCAGCCTCCCCGTTCTCGCCTCTCGTCTTGGTCCCCTCCTCCTGATGGCTTTGTGAAGATCAACTTTGATGCTGCTGTTCGTTCCTCTGGGTGCTCGTCTGGTCTTGTGGTGCGCAGTTCAGATGGGCATGTGGCTCTGGCGTTAGGATCCCTCCATCCTTGTATTGCTGATCCCTATCTTGCGGAGCTCCTAGCAGCTAGGGACGCCATCGCCCTTGTTGTCTCCAAGTTGTTGCCTCGGGTCATCATAGAAGGAGATTCAGAGGTGGTGGTTCGTCAGCTTCGTCAAGGTGCTCTCTCCGATTCCATTGGAGGTCCGGTGCTTAGGGATTGTTTCCTTCTCCTTTCTTCTATCTCTGTTTCTTTAGAGTTTAGGGCAGTTCCTCGGACTGCTAACAGTGCTGCCCATAGAGTGGCGCAGAAGGCACTGTTACTCTCCCCTTTAGAGTTATGCGCCTTTGATTTTGTGGGTTGGCTTCACTGATGTATTGGGTTGGGCAGGGTCGGGGTAGATTGTATAGGTTCTCTCTTGACATTTCTTGGGGAAAAAAAAAGACAAATTAAGAGAATGTGCAAACCCATTGGAAAATAAGCTTTGGGAGCCTTATAAAGACCTTCTCCAATCACAAATGGCATGGACATCCTTCACCCTCGATGAACCTGTTTTTTTAGTTGCCAAAAAGAGCATGAATTCGTTCATGCACGTTGACTAAACTTCATGATTTTGTCTAATGTAGGTAAGATGCCTCTTACCCACCTTCTACATAAATTGTTTGACCATCGGAGACACAACCAATTTCCAAAGTTTTTTTTCTTTCAAAACGTAGAATTAAACATAACATCACAATCAAACATGTCTTCAATAGCTCTATTTAATTTTCTCTATAAAAAATGTAGCATGTTATGTTATAATAATCGAATATGTTCGCATTCCTCCTTCAATGAGTTAGTGAGGAAGATCCTAATATATATTGTTTGATGTCAAAATCAAAGAGTTCAAAATTCTAGAATTCTAATTATTGAGAGTATCAACCCGCTGAACAGGATCGATGATGTTTGATTGAAGGGATCAGTGTAGATTGAGCACTCTCAGAAATCCACATGTCATTAAACATATAAACAATATTTCTCCCATTTTCAATCCTACCTTCAAGTAGAATATGTTTTACTCTTTTATTCATCAATTGACCACTAAACACTCATCCATTCATAGTCCAAGGCCATGAGCTCAGGCCTAGGTATGATAAAGAAAATATAGAATGATTGTGGTTGAACCCTCTGGTACTGCTTGGCCCAAACTCTCAACTAGAAGGAAGTCTTGGTTCCTCCTCCCAATTGCTGGACGTAAACACGTAACTTGCAACATGTCAATATCTAATCTCCTAGAGATATTGAGCGCAGAAATCCCATCACATATATTGCTTTATTCCCAAAAATTGCAACACCACAAACTCTATATACAAATTACATGACAGGATGCATAAGCTACGTCGCAAAATATGAAAGCCTATAACTCGCACAAAACCTCCAACCACAGCAAAAAAAAATTAAACAGAACATGTTCGTATCCAGTGCTACCTAGTTCGCGAAGTAGCCAAACCAAGTACTCAAAATTCAAACTAAGCAGCAAGTTCGCGAGTGGACTGGCACCAACGATCGTAAGAAACTTGCAGGTTAGGCCAGTCCGAGGCCGTAACCGTGTAGTCATGGATCCAGTTCGTGAGGATGACTTCCTGATCCATCCCAGGTAGAGTCGCCATCACGTCGTCGATCGCCCTCTCCACTCCCACCTTCTCGATGCTCGTCAGCACCGGGTACGTGAGCCCGTTGTTCGCGTGGCACAGCACCGGCAGCCACACCACGAGCAGCCGCGACTTCACCTGCCCCGGCACCTGCACCTTCTCCCCTCGATCCCCGCCCATCTCTCCGATCAGTATGGCTGCACAGACCATCAGATTAACTTATCAGTCATAATAGCGGTGGACCCCAAGAGCAATACCTATCGTACCCTCTTCAAATTCTACTAATTCACCTGTCACGACTTTGAAAATTTTCCAATGTTGAACTTCACATGTAATTAGCATAGTTCCGAATCGAAACAAAGATATTTTGTCCTTAAAGATCATAAATATGAGCAATGCCATCACCTACTTGAAGTAAAGTGTGCGGTGTTTACAATCACGACTTCCTATCATATTGTTCAATATGGTCACGGTCCAAAACCAATTGTGTAACTAATTTAATTAATGTGATGTCACACACGTTACCTGTTGTCTTGACAATGAGGCCCTGGACCCTAGCGTCGATGGCCAGGGCCATCGACGCGAGCCCCGACGCGTGGCTCCACTGCACCACGGCCTCCTCGACCAGACCGTAGTTCCGCAGCTTGTTGGTCAGCCACACCAGCTCCTCGGCCAGCTTCTCCGACACCACGTCGTCCCCCGCGTCCCCGCCCTGCAGCAGCAGCTGATTCTTGTTGTTGCCGCCGCGCCAGACGCCGCTGCTGGCTATCTGGAGGACGGTGGTGAGGCAGTAGTTCAGCCCCCTGACGTAGGACAGAGCGTAGGACCCGAATGGCAGCGACCGGATGGCCCGGGTGGTCCACGACGCCGTCGAGTCCGGGTGGCTCGGCGACGACGATGACCGCCGCTGGAGCGAGCGGTAGAGCAGGGCCAAAGTCCGCGCGTAGGCCGACGAGAGGGCGAACCGGTTGATCTCCTGGAGCTCCGGGTGGCCGTCCTTGAAGTTCCCGTCCATGATCCTGTCCGCCATTGCCATCGCGAACTGGTACTTCCCGGAGCTCGCCGGGATCTCGTTCAGCAGCGCCAGAATCTGTCCCATGGCAACGAACAAAACTCGATGATGTAAAATTCAACAACCACCATTAAGCATAAACGTGCACGGTGCACATTTTTATTTTTTTACTGTCCTGTTAAATATGACACGTGCTTAATTAAGTAGCCCCATAGAGTAACGGTGGAAGTGTCAGGGGAGTTATTTATCATGATGTGTCACATTCTATCCATGCAAAAGCAGGGACATATTTGCTCCACGTGTTTCCACATATACCTACGTGGCAACTTTCCATGCCACCGCAACATAAGCAGACACCTGCCTGCCACGTCACATTCTCACCATTTTTTTTTATATCCAAAATAAATCCTGACCGGACACCAAATTTACAAAAACGACAGTAATAAAGCTTACGTGGGTGAGGGATCGTCCGAGGGCGTGAAGAGAGCCGACGTCGTCCTCATAATCATCCTGCTGCAGGACCAAATCCATGGGCGACGACGAGGCGGCCGCGGCGGGCACGAGCGCTCCGGCCTCCGATTTCGCGGAGGAGTAGGGGAACGACACGTGGGTGGAGGGAGGGTTGAACGACGTCGTTTTGGAGGAGGAGGAGAACCCGGAGGGCGCGGGGAGGGCGAGCTTGAGAGGGGAAAAGGCGGCGGAAAGGAGGTGGTGAGGCGACCAAGTCATGGGGACGGGGAAGAAGTCCATGAGCACCCTCATGACCCAGACGGTGAGCCACGTCATGAGCATGACCATGAACCTGAGGTGGTCCCCGGGCTTCCACCGCTCGCTGTGCTCCGGCTGGACGTTGGCCGCCACGTTGACCAGCGTCCGCGACGCCACGTTCACCGTCGACATGAAGAGCGTGTTGAGGAGCTGCGACGGCCTGTTGCTCTTGTACGCGTACTCCATCTCCAGCCCCTTCAGCACCCCGGCGCCCATGGATAATAATAATAATAATAATCAACTTAATGGTGTGAATCAGACGATGTTATTGTTATAATTTTGGTACAGCTTTTTTTTTGTGCTGTGGGATTGGGATGTATGTGTTGGTTTCATTGGAGTGCGTTTTATATATAGGGAATGGAGCTGAGTCGGTTAGGTGACGTTGTGACAGCTTGGAGCCAAGGAGATAAAGGGGAGTCGGTTTTGGAGGGCTTTTGTCGTTTTTTAGCGATGGGGCGCGGATAATATGGGAAGAGCGGAAGATTTGACTTAATGGTGGGGGTTTTGTGTGACGATGTTTAGGGTTCTTTTGAAGATCATGAGTCACCAATTACAGGCACATCGTGGCGCCTGCTCCTTACTGTGTGTATTTTGGACCAGCGGCGGTTACTTCATCCGGTTGTTCTCGTTGCTCATCATGGTATATCCATACAAACAAACACTATTAAATACGAACTAAAATATGCGCGCAATAACGAGAAATCTTGATGTGTACGTTAACTATTCGTAACTTATATAATAAGATAATTACTTTTTACAGAAATTTTGGTCTTAAGGTTCGAATTTTTGGTGTGGTGTGGTTTATGTTTTGATATTATGACTAGATTATCTTTTTGAGATGCCCAAAATAAAAGCATGCAACGTTAATGTAATACAAATAAATTTATGGAAAGATTCTTCCTAAACTGATAAATTACGAAGGATTTACGAAGAAAAAAAATTAGAAGAAAGGAATGAAGTTGCTCGACTGAAATGAAGATAAATGAATTCTATGATAGCCCTCCACTAATCATCCAAGCCAACCTGTCATTACTTATTCTAAATTGGAAAAGACACATTAAGAGCTCTCATGTCTTGCCATTTAGATCATGGCTTAACTGTATTATGCACAATTCATGTTTTACACATCATTTTCTAATAAATTATCATGTTTGATGCTCGAAAAGCCTTTCAAATTTCGGTAGTTTGTTGTTATGTATTTAGTTAGTTATAATTGAGGGTGATTCTTGAATATTATGTTTATCTCTAAGACATCGAATTGAGTTGTAAATAGAGTCTTATGTACACATTATACAATATAATGTTTTTCAAAATCTTTTCCTTACTGATTTTTTGCCCAAAATTTTGGGTAAAATTGTGGTACTTTATATATTAACTTTTTCCTACTTATTAAATCTATACAAAAATATATAATACGTAATAATAAGTTCTACCATATCTGGATGGGCCCAATTAGCCTACTGCTGTGCTACTACACATTATGAGGGTAAGAAATCAAAGTTTATGGGCCCAACACGATGCAGCCCACGATAACAATACGGTAAAGTCCGAAGTTCTGGGCTCTGGGAACTCGCGATTGCGGGAACCGCCCTTAGACGACGGAGGAACTCTGGCTCCGATGCGATGAACTGATGAAACTGTCAGAGAAATGAAGGCTTTCTGCCTCCTCCGGAACCGATTGAAACCATTCCCTATCAATAACAATGTCTTCCGGAGGTGCTTCTCTCCGCTTCCCATCTACACCAACACCAACCTCGCCCATCAGCTCCATTTCATCTTCACCAAGCGCCCTGCTACTTCCCCCGACGATCCCGACCTCCGGGCACTTTCCCCCTTCCTCAACCCCAAGCTCGTCGAAACCGTCTTGTATTCTTTCCAAAGCTGGAAACTTGCTCACTTCTTCTTCACATGGGCATCCAACCAGCAAGGATACCGCCACAATGCCTACACTTTCAATGCCATGGCGTCCATCCTATCACGTGCTCGACAAAATGCCCCACTGAGAGCACTGTCCGAACAAATCCTCCGTTCCCGGTGTCCCATGACCCCTGGGGCTCTGGGTTTCTTCATTCGCTGCTTGGGCTGTGCTGGGCTTGTGGAGGAAGCCAATTCCTTGTTTGACCAAGTTCAAAGCGAGGGTCTTTGCTTCCCCAATGTCTACGCTTACAATTGCTTGCTTGAGGCTGTATCTAAGTCGAACTGTGTGGATTTGGTTGATGCCAGGTTGAAGGAGATGTCCGACCGTGGCTTTGTGTTCGACAAGTATACTCTGACTCCAGTCCTGCAGGTTTATTGTAATGCCGGGAGATTCGATAAAGCATTTGATGTATTCAACATGATTTCCGATCGTGGATTTCTGGATGGGTACTTGTTCTCCATATTGGCATTGGCTTTTACAAAGTGGGGTCAGGTGGACAAGGCATTTGAGTTGATTGAGGTTATGGAAGCTCGAAATGTTGGGTTCGCTGAGAAGACTTTTATCGTCTTGATTCATGGTTTCCTGAAGCAGTCCAGACTGGACAGGGCTCTCCAGTTATTTGATAAGATGAAGAATTCCGGATTTGTGCCTGATATTTCTCTCTACGATGTTCTAATTGGAGTGTTCAGCACTGCAAAAGAACTGGACAAAGCTTTAGGTTTGTATGCTGAGATGAAGGAGTTCAACGTCCAACCGGATACTGGCATAATCACAAAGCTTATATCTTGTTGCAATGATGAAGGTGAACTAAAGCGCCTTTTTAAGGAAATTGGGAGGGATATGAATCTGGAAGCTTTGACTATGCTCTACAATTCTTTGTTGACTGTTCTTGTTAATAATGATTCGATAGACAAAGCCTACAGCCTTCTTCGAGTGATGCTTGGAGAAAGCTGCAGCAATGATCTCCAGGGGGATGAGTTCTGCTGGGAAAATGACATCGTCCCGTCACCTAATGCTTCTAGTTTTGGAGTTGTTATCGATGGGTTGTGCAAGGCTGGTAAGCTGGACTTGGCAGTTGGCCTCTTTCGAGATATGTCTCAGAAGATCGGCTGTAAACCAAACCTATTGATCTGCAACAACTTGATCTCTGGCTTGTGCAGTTCTGATAGGATGGAGGATAGTTTAGAAATTCTGAGAGAGATGGAGAAATCAGGATTGGTGCCCTCACCATTTACTCATAACGCCATATTCGGGTGCCTATGCAAGAGAATGGACGTTGCAGGAGCTCTTGATCTGATAAAAAAGATGCGAGTTCATGGCCATGAGCCCTGGATAAAACACTGTACCTTGATGGTGAAGGAACTCTGCAAGCACAAGAAGGCAGTAGAAGCTTGCAAGTTCCTCGACGACGTGGTTGAGGAAGGTTTCATACCTGATATGATCGCTTACTCAGCCGCATTAGACGGATTAATCAGGATTCACGAGGTGGATCTGGCTTTGGAGCTGTTTCGAGACATTGTTGCTCGAGGTAACTACCCTGATGTGGTTGCTTACAACACGATGATGAAAGGGCTTTGTCAGGCCAAGAGAGTTGCTGAAGCCGAGGAACTTCTGAAGGAGATGGTGATGAAGGGGCTGGTTCCATCAGTGATAACCTACAACTTGCTCATAGATGGATGGTGCAAGAACGGTTCTCTCGAGGCAGCCATGCGCTGCCTATCTGAAATGTTTGATAAAGGGAGGGAGCCGAACGTGATCACTTATACCACTCTCGTGAATGGACTGTGCAACGCTGGAAGGCCGGAGGAAGCTCTCGCTGTGTGGAACGAAATGGTGGCCGTGAAGGGTTTGGCTCCTGGCGAGATCGCTTTCATGGCTCTCGTTCATGGCCTCTGCAAGTGCGGAAGGCCCAACGAGGCTGTGGTGCATTTGCGAGAGATGAAATCGAGAGAGATGAAACCAGATGGTTATGTATACACGGCTTTGGTAAGCGCTTTCCTCGCTGAACTGAACCATCCCTTGGCTCTGGAAATGGTAGAAGAGATGGTTCGTGAGGGAAGGTTCCCGGGTAAGCTCGACAAGAACCACGCAATTGCAAGAGATGCTGTCATCGAGCTGTTGAGTGACAGCAGGACTTGTTCGAGTATTAGAGATCTCATAGCTGAAGGCAATATTCCTTCCATTAGTATGTCAGACCTCGAAAGTGACAGTTTGGATGGGTGCATTACTTGATCATCTTCATCATATTTGCCTAATTGAAATGTGTATCCATTGTGGTTACGCATGTTAGAGCTATCGACCATTCGGTCGAGGAACTTAGGATATTACTCATACACAGAAGGAACAAGTCTTCTATTGCTTTATGAAATCTCTTGATACTTGATAGCTTTCTTATAGTCACCTCTTGTGGTTTCCTCTCACGGGCAGAGTGCTAGCTCATGTTTCATGATTCGAGCTCCATAGTGGTGGAGACATTTTGTTAGCTCTTGTCTGATTCTTTGTGGCAGGTACCTCTCCCTCATATTATTTACAAAAATGTCGCTGCATTTTTGAGCGACTAGAAATACTTGGTAAGATTATCCACATATTTTCAGGCAAGGAAGAGGTGCGGAGAAACGACCAGGGACAAGGAGGGGTTGAAAAAGACACTGGGGACTGGGGAGGAAAACGGAAACGGGTGACCCGAATCTGACGTGGGAAATGGCTGGCCAGGCAAATCTTATTCCTTCCTTGAACTCCGTTATATTTTAACAGTCGTCTAATCCAACTCACTCTGCCTCCATCTCTGGTTTTTCTTTCTCCAGCTGGTAGTTCAATGGAAGCTCTCACTGCTTCCCACCACCACATCCCTCTTCCTCTCCTCCAATCGCCACCTCAAATTTCATCTACCCTTTCTTCTTCCAGTTACCGGAATCTGAGTTTTAGCGCCGCCAACAAGCCGTCGCGATCCTCCTCTTCATTCGGAACCGCTTCAATCCCCAGACTGGTGCGTCCATCCACCTCCTATTCCAGCATCAGATGTGGTGCATCTTCTTCGTCTTCCGCAATTACCCAGATTACAGAAGCCGAGTTCCCGTCCGTTGTACTCAGCTCCGACCGGCCCGTCCTCGTCGAGTTCATTGCTAGTTGGTGCGGCCCTTGTCGCTTGATCTCTCCCGCCATGGAGTGGCTAGCCAAGGTCTTCTTCTATTCTATTGCCTCTCCTTAGTCCTTACACAGAACTGTGGAAAATTGGGACCTCTAGTTGATTAGGGTTCAGCAGCGGTCCTAGGGGCTATTGGGAATGTTTCATGAACTGCCGCTAATGCATTCTCTTGCAATAGCGAAAGATATGAAATTGACGATTGTCTTGGTCTTTTATCTTCAGGAATATGCTGACAGATTGACCGTTGTGAAGATCGATCACGATGCCAATCCGAAGCTAATTGAAGAGTACAAAGTATATGGATTGCCCGCATTGATGCTCTTCAAGGATGGACAGGAAGTTTCCGGGAGCCGGAGGGAAGGTGCTATTACGAAGGCGAAGCTCAAAGTGTATGTTGATTCACTCTTGGACTCCATCTCAGTTGCATAGTAACTTCCAGCTATTAGCAAGTAGTAGCATATGTTGAAAACCGTCCTTCCCGCCGGTCACCGGTAGGAGGAATTTTTGCTGCATTTGGCTGTGTACTAATGTCATATATGAACACTTAACTCTCCATTGGGGGATATATTCTATTATTTGTTGTGGTCTTGTGGATATATAGCTATTGTGGCAAAATACCACTGCAATTGAATGAAGAGGAAACCCCTTGTTGAATGGGTTGTGGCTTCCATCATCTTGAATGTAAAGCTTGTTACTTTTCGGCAGTGATATGCTTGGCCTTGATGTTCTTTGTTTGGAAACATTTCTTGGGAACTTTTTTTTTAAGCTGGTCTGCAGGGCAGTGTCTATGGCGGAACAGAGACAGAGACAGAGTAACAATCTAATGCTTGCTTGGTCTTTGTTAAGAAAGGGGGAAAAACTCAGGTTTCCAAAATCGCCTAACAGAATTCAAGGGTTATTGTTGAAACAAGAAGTAGCTCCCAACTAAAACAACTCTCACCTACAAATACTACTCCTGCCTTTGCTCTGCTCTGCTCACTCGTCTCTGTTTTGTTTTTCCTTCCTCTATGCCCTTTCTTTTTCCTTCTTTCTTTGGTGTCCTTATTTGAAAACAAAGCCTGAACCCATAATGTGCTAGTCCTATGTGCTTCTTCTTCAAGCCTCCATATCCTTGATCTTGGTACTGCTGGCGGTGCCAATCACAGCATCGTCCGGGATATACTGTCCCCAGAACCAGTGCTTCCTCCATACATTGTTCATCTCTTCAATGGGGACGTTCTTGGTCTCCGGTAGGAAGAAGTAGATGAAGAGCGTCATCACCACCACCCAGCAGGCGAAGAAGAGGAAAAGCCCAAACTTCATGTGGCAGAGCATGGTGAGGAAGAACTGGCCGATGATGAACGTGAAGGCCATGTTCACAGCCACATTGATGGCCTGTCCCGCTGATCGGATCTCCAGAGGGCAGATCTCGCTCGGCACCAGCCACCCCAACGGCCCCCATGACCACGCAAATGCCGCCACATAGAAGCAGATCAGGATCAGCACGAGCAGCGAGTCGGCTTTAGACATCACCCCAACTCCTGCAGACCCAAATGCCTTCGCGATCATCACTGCAACAAGCACCTGCAGCGCGCACAGACACACATACACGCACAAGAAAGTTGTCAGAGAGAAACGTCCTAATGGTAAGAGTAGACATTGAAAATGTTTAAATTTTGTCACGCCCTCTTCCAGCCTTACCTGACTAACAATCATTTGAATGCCTCCTTCCAGGAACAGAGCCCTTCTCCCCAACCTATCCACCGCCAAGATCGAAATGAAGGTGGCAAAGACATTGACAAGGCCAGTGATGACAGCAGACATGAGGGAAGCATCGTCACCGAATCCCAGAGTCTTGAACAGGACTGGCGCGTAGAACATGATCACATTGATCCCAGTGAACTGCTGGAAGAAAGGCACAAGGAAGCAGATAGCCAAATGAGGCCTGTACTCCGGCTTCAAGATGGTCGACCACTGGCCATCCACTCTCATTGCAGCATGGGTCGCGTCGATCAGGTCCTGGAACTCCTCGTCCACATTGTCAGTGCCGCGGATCTTCTTCAACATCTCCCTCGCCTTCTCCGTGTTGCCCCGTGCCAGGATCGAGTTCGGGGTGTCCGGCAGAAAGATGGACCCCACGGTGATCATGATGGCAGGAACCGCAGCGAGCCCCAAGGATGCTCTCCATCCCCAGTCCTTGGAAGCAAATGTAAAGTTGATCAACCAAGATGCCGATGGTGATCGCCATCTGGAACCCGATGTTGAGAGCTCCCCTGAGCTGGGAAGGCGCCATCTCGGACAGATAGAGCGGGACAGACTGGTTGGCGAACCCGACCCCAACACCGAGAAGCAGGCGACCGACGATGAGCATCGCCACGTCGACTGCTACACCGTTGAGGATCGCTCCGGCGAGGAACACGATGCCTCCGAACAGCATCGAGATCTTTCGGCCGAAAACCTTGGTGACATAGGCTGCGACCGCGGAGGCGAACAGGGCGGCGAGGTAGAGGGATGAGGTGAACAATGTGAGGAGATGGCTGTCGAATTTGCAGTACATGCTCTCGTGGTGGCCTTCTTTTTCCTTCCTGTACACGGAAGGGAAGAACTTGCTCAAGAACGAATCCATGGAGGTGACACCACCCGAGATCCCGATGTCGTACCCGAAGATCAGACCTCCACATGCTGCAACTATGCAGGCGATGAGCACGAACCCGGTGACGCGGCCTTGGAACTGCTTTGTTCCGCTATCGGGGACATAGCCACCTCCAGCCATTTCGGAAACCCACCTCCTGTTTTCAAGGTTTCTTTCTGGTTTCTTTACTACTTTCTGGTCTCTGTTAAATCACCAAATTATTAATCTACGCAGGATGCTAATGATCTACTGCAACAGAACACACAACCAGGAGAGGATGGTCGTGGGGGAGTTGGGGACTTATTACTTATTAACCAAAAGGATGGGTTTTGAGCAGTGAGAGGAGATCGACGTGTTTATATGATGCAGGAAGCCATGAAAGTAGGCAACTGCATGGTGATGATTTAGTATAGCGCTGAAAGTCAGTGAAGGTTTTGGTATTGGTGTTGAGTTTTGTCTTAAATCTGCTGTTGGTCTTCGTTCAAATTGGTCCTTAAATAGTCTTCTTTCTTTGCTATTTTGTCCCTGCAAATTTGGATTTTCTAAATAAATAAATCAATGTATATTTACTAATTAAAAATGTAATGAACAATTAGGATGATATTATTTTTCTGAATCGCTAAATGTCGCCCTAAGAATTGCTAAACATCGCCCTAACTAAAATATAAAATTACCTACATGCCCTTAAGCAAAAACTCAAAACAAACAAGCCCTTAAGGCAAATTCAAAAATTCATTCTCCCTCCCCCTCCCCCCAACTCCTCACCTCTACACTCCCTCCCCCTCAACCGCCGGCGACGCCAGCCCGCCGCCGGCCCGCCGCCCCCTGCCACCGCCGGCGACGCCAGCCCGCCGCCCCCTGCCGCCCCCTGCCGCCGCCCCCGTCGCCTCCCGCCGCCAGCCCGCCGCCCCCGTCGCCGCCCGTCGCCTGCCCCGTCGCCTCCCGTCGCCTGCCCCGTCGCCTCCCGTCGCCGCCCCGTCGCCTCCCGTCGCCGCCCCGTCGCCTCCAGCCGCGTGGAGAAGAAGGTAAGAAAAAAAAAAAAAAATTGCACGAACCGCGGTCAACGCGCGGTTTGACCGACGGTTAACCGCGGTCAACGCGCGGTTGGACCTGCGGTCAACCGCGGTCAACGCGCGGTCCGACCAGCGGCTGACCGCGGTCAAAGGGCGGTTGACCGATGGGTAAACCGCGCTTTGACCGCGGTCAGCCGCTGGTCGGACCGCGCATTGACCGCGGTTGACCGCAGGTCCAACCGCGCGTTGACCGCGGTTGACCGTCGGTCAAACCGCGCGTTGACCGCGGTTCGGCTTTTTTTTTTTAAAATTCTGTTTTTTAAATTCTGTGTTTAATGTTAATAATAATAAAAAAAATTAAAAAAATATACATAATAAAAGAATTTAGTTATATTATTGATAAATACTAATTTAGTTATAATGATAATTAATAATAACGTATTCGATAAATGTTAATTTAGTTATAATTTAGTTATATAAAAAAAAATTAAAATCGTATTCGATAATTGTTATTTAAAGATAACAAATTTAAAGAACATTATAAAAAAATTAAAAATGTGTTTTTATCATTTTAATAATCAAAATTTCAAAGTAATTCGTTTATCTACTTAATTATTAATAATTTTACCTTGATTAAAAAGTAAATAATTATTACATAGAACGTAACATAAATGTTAAAACTATTAGTTTTATAATTTTAATTATGAAAATCTTAAATTAATTACTTTATGTACTCCATTATTAATAATTCAAACTTTTTTTTGAAGATGTCTGGACATGGAATGGGTAAACCGGATATGATTAAGGCGAGAAATAAGGAGAGAATGGAGGGTCGTGCTTGTAGACTTACGGCGACTGGTAGGAAGGAAAATGAAGAAAAAAATCCACCTAAGGTTAGAAGGAAGAAGAAGGCGGATGTAGTGCGTCCTGACGGCCACCCTACTGTGGGGCAGTTGTCTCTTAGTCGAGGCACTACCAGTACTCCTACACCAGATACCGCACCGGTATGGCAGGCTAATTGGAGTGATTCCATTGACGAGGATGATGATGATGACGGTGATGCTGAGGTTGGGAATGCCCCAGATGCTGGTGCTGCTGCTGGTGATGCTGCTGTTGATGATGCTGTTGATGGTGCTGGTGATGCTGAGGCTGGGGATGCCCCACCTCAAGCTGATTTAGGCGTGAGGAAGACGGCACGGGTCGGGGTATCTTCTACTGCCTCCTCCCACTTCCGTGGGCCCGATGGACGCTATGCGTCCAGACCTAGTAGCGAGGATGGCGGAGATGGAAATAGGAAGAGGAAGACCACGAGGAAAGATATGTCGTGGTTTCTTACAGCCGAGTCTCCGATGTGTTCAGGTGGACCAGTGATTCCCGATGTGATCCCTAGCTTTGGAGGTCACATTGGCTTGGTACTGTGGAATTCCCCTGAGCAGGACCGTGGAGTGTTGGACGGCTTCCATAGGCCGAGAGCTGTAGAGACTTTGAGGCGATATAAGTGGAGTGCAGAGGGTTCCAAGGAGATGGTTGAAGCCACAGGATTGTCTCACTTGACGGGGTGCATGATGCAGCATTTAGACATGGCTCTACTGTCGGCATTTGTGGAGAGGTGGCAGCCGGACACAAACACCTTCCACATGCCGTTTGGAGAGATTTCGATCCTTCTACACGATGTGCATCACATTCTTCGGATACCGGTTGACGGAGAGCTGATGGGAGATGAGGCGTCGCAGGATACTCTTAAGTCAGACATGGGTGGTCTAGTTCGACTTTCGGTGGATGCTCAGGTTGGTGGTAAGTGGAAGTCGAAGTGGTACGATAATGGTGCTATGCATGCAGAGGGATTGTTGGTGCGTGGGGGAGAGCTGAAGATTAAGGAGATGGAGGTGCAGTGTTACCTATTTGTGTTGCTGGGATCCACGCTTTTTGTGGATAAGAGTCGTGATCGCCTTCGTCCTGCGATCAACTTGTTTCTGAAGGATCATCGACGATTGGCTGATTACGCTTGGGGAGCTGGTGCACTAGCCTATCTCTACAGACAGTTGGGAGTGGCCACACGAGCGGGTAGTAAGGGTCTTTGTGGTTGTTTGACCCTGCTTCAGGCTTGGATATATGAGTACTTTCCTCTTTTCCGTCCGAGCCAGCTGCCACAGTCTCCGGATGCACCTCGTGCTTCCTCGTGGATTTCTCCCCGTTTGCCAGGTGGGGATGAGGCTAGACAGAGGTTAGTACGTTATCGACAGTTGTTGGATGAGCTTTCAGCTGATGATGTGACCTGGACTCCGTACGGACGAGATGGCCACACAGATATACCCCGCTCCTTGTATACTGGCCCCATTCGCTTTTCTGACATTGCTGAGGGATACGATCCTTCACGTTGTCTGCGCCAGTTTGGATACCGACAGATTATCCCCGCTGCTATGACGGTACCACATGACCATTACCGTCCGGCTTCCGGCAGCAGTTACATAGTCTTTTGGGATCCGTGGGTGAATCAGTTGTGGAATAACGTGGCAGCTCGTCGTCTAGAGTTGGATTTTGCTTCTCGGCCGTGCGAGCAGCCATCGGAGATCGTGGAGGAGTACGTTGACTGGTTTCTGACTAGATCGCACCCACGGATCACCCACCCCACTGATGAGGAGCCTCAGCCTCGACCACTACTAGTTCATCAGGTTAGTTATGACTTTCTTTTGCTTTTCCAAATATAAAGGACATTTGTTATTTATTCTAACATTGTTTTCTATTTACAGTTGAGAGAGCAGATTGTGGATCGTTTAGGCCCCTTGTTGCAGACGAGGGACCGGAGTAAGTGGGAGGAGGACGGTGGTAAGCTCTATGATATGGCAGCTGGAGTTTTCGAGTTGTACGATCAGTTGGTAGGGCAGCCGCCTCAGTAGACGATTGTGTTTTTATTTGTCATCGTTTGTAGTTGAACTGAGACTATTGTGTGTTTTATTTGTCATCGTTTGTAGTTGAACTATGACTATTGTGTGTTTTATTTGTCATCGTTTGTAGTTTAATTGAGACGGTTGTGTGTTTTTTTACTTTAGTTACATTCAATGCATTGCTAAAATAGTTAATCAACATGGTAGATTACTAAATGTTTCAACAATAGAGAGTTATACAATTCGTAAATAGAGAGTTATACAATAGAGAGTTATACAATTCATCCCCGTGGGTTCAATCTATCATAAAGCGCACGCTCATGTAAGAAGAATTGATCCCACCCATTGACACTAGGGTCATGATAAATAGGCCAAAGGTAGTTAATTGGAGGCATGGGCACTTGACCATGTCGAAAGTCAAGTCGCACCCAATGATCCCCCGTAAAATGTAGTGATAAGATCCCACGTGGTCTTGTTACTCCTGGTGGGGCCGTCACAGGTAGCACGGTATAACGACCGCCTTGACTGTATACAACGATGGCCCATGAATGCAAGGTGGCGAAGACGAAGAGTTCCGCATTATCCATCCAGTTGAAAGGTCCACAGCCACTTGTTGATGCCCACCTGCAACGTCGAATGCCATCTTCTATTCCATTTGCTATTCCATCATAGTAGGCTCTATAAAGCTCAGGACGGGATTCAAGCTCCTCTAGAACAGCGCGTCTCATTTGTGGCCAATTCCTTTGGTCCCCAGTAGCTGCTTGTGATATAGCTCGAAATCCACAGTGTCCATCTGGAATAGGGTTGAACCAACCACGAACTAGTCGTTGCACGTAGGATTCCAAACAATGTAGCCATGGGTAATTCTTCCAACTAGTATTGGGAATCCGAGCAACCCTCCACGGGGCACCATCTAGCCAAAGAGCATAACACGATAAATTAATACAAAGAGTTACACTATATGTTTACCCGAAATTAGGAATATAATTTCTAACCTGTATCATTATGGATCACCGGCTCCGTCCCATTCTCGAAGTTGGTTTGTGCATTCCCATTCGGTGCACCATCTAGCCAAAGAGCATAACACGATAAATTAATACAAAGAGTTACACTATATGTTTACCCGAAATTAGGAATATAATTTCTAACCTGTATCATTATGGATCGGCTCCGTCTCATCCTCGAAGTTGGTTTGTGCATTCACATTCGGGGCACCACCTATCTCATTTAAAATAAATAGATTAGTTGTACACCATATTGAGGACAATTGAACACAACTAAAAGAAAAAGTTAATCTACCTGTATTTCCATCATTGTCCGGAGTTGCAGTCGGAAGTCTTGAACTTCTCCTCCCTCGTCTCCTCTCCACATGCTCGAAGTGAGACAGGTTTCGAGTGGTGGACGTCCTTGGGCGACCGGGGCGGGGCTGTCCCCCATGCGGTTCATCAATGCCATCATTTTCAGGATGAAGATGGCTCCGGAGTAGGCCGATTGCACCTCGAATGGTCTCGTCGCCTCTATCAAGAACCTCCTGTACTAGACCTTGGAACACACCACGGTGGTAATCACTATGGTCATCCCACTCCGGCCGAGTAGGAGGTTCACGATAGTTGATAACGGTCCAGAATGGCAACACATCATACAAGGCGAAATCCCGATTTTCACGTCGTGCTAACTGAATGGAACATCTACATGGGAGACCATAGGTAGGAAGAAACGTACATGTACAAGGTTCCCCTTCCACTGCTACCTCGAACAACATCAACCTCAGAGCTTCTAGAGTGACTTTCGTATTCAACTCTCGAAATGGTTTTCCATCCGCTCGGAGCAGCTTCTTTTGTCGGGAATCCTCCAGCAGCTTCCTGATTTGAAGGTGTTGAGCCTCAATGTAATCATCGTTCTTCTTGTATACCTACAAACAATGAAGAACAATTAGGAAACTACTAAAACTTATGTGTGTATCAATAAAGATTTATTAGATTACTAACCGTGTCGACTGCGCCAGTAGATGATTGAAGCCACTTCTTGAAGGAGGAATGGGCAGCTTCAACCCTATTAGAGCTTGTGTTACCCAAATGCCGCAGTTGATTGGTATAACATTTAGCCCACATGTGTCTAACTGGTAACCACTCAGCTGTCATATACCCCCAAAGACGTCGGTACTGTACTCCCCAACCACGTCTGAAATTCTCTAAGGCAGTATCCATGTCTTCCACTGTCAATGCATATACAGCACGTTGCCAAGACGCCATGATCTGATCCACTGTCGGTTTGGCTGCATCTATACCACAATGAGTCGTCCTTCGCACCTCCGTTAGACACTTTGCTCTCACATTCCTATCCATATGCCAAAGACATAAAATATGAGTCGATGATGGAAACATTACCCCCACGGTCTCAACCAATCCTCCTGCCTTGTCACTGACAAACACATCTGGAACAATGGGGCCAAGAAGATGTTGCAAATGCGTCAGAAGCCACTGGTACGACTCCTTCGTCTCGTCGTACACTATTGCAGATGCAATGACAAAGTTCAATCCCACTGGTGTCATGCCGACAATCTCAACCCAAGGCATATCATACTTGTTGGTCTTGTATGTTGCATCTATCACGATCACATGGTGCCAAGCTCGCAACATCAATATTGACTCGGGGTGGGCTAGGAACAAGTGTGTAAGCACGTTACGATCGTCCATATACTGCACATAGTAACCCTTCTCCTGCGCCATGCGGAAAGTATACTGTAAGGCTGTCATCTGACCAAGCTCTTCTTTCCTTATCTTGTGACACTCGTTATAAATCTGCTTTCTGTTGTGTGTTCCATTTGCACCTTTTCTGTCATTCACTGCCTTGTGGATATTCCTTGGTGGGACACCGGCTGATCTCAGCTCTCTGATGTATTGCTTGTCCTCTGTAGTCAAAACATTCCTTCCCTTTGATCCCTCCGGAAATAGCTCCAACTGATGATTGTGGAAACCCAAATTAGCACCAGGATTCTTTGTATTTGCCACCCCTAGGATCAACCAATATCCATCACCTGACCGCTCAAGCTTGATCTTAAACTCGCACCCCAACTTTTCAGTAGATGTAAGAGGCCTCGTTTCCTTACTCGGATCAGGTTCCTTCGACTTCTTCTTCCTACCATGAGTGCAATGTAAGTAATGTCGCCAAGTACCTTCATTCGTATTTTTTTTGTTCGATGCCCTCACCAAATAAAACCCAAAACCCTTTGCAATCTCAATGGCTGCTTCATATGCTTGCAACTCCGTAGTGTATTTCACGCCATCAATGAAATCCGAGGTGTAATCATGGCCATCCGGATTGTAACTTCCAATATCCTGCAATGTTATCAGTATTAAAATTAATAATCATCATAACTTCATATGCGAATCTATTATTTATGCAATAAATTTAATCTTAATTTGTAATGCAAAATCTAATCTTAATTTTCTAGATTAACACCAAATTAAATCTAATCTTAATTTAAGGCCAAATCTAATCTTAATTTCTAATGCTAATTCCTTCAATTCCAAAAATCTAATCAAAACCCAATAAATCTAATAAATTATATTAATCTTAATTTGTAATGCAAAATCTAATCTTAATTTTCTAGATTAACACCAAATTAAATCTAATCTTAATTTAAGGCCAAATCTAATCTTAATTTCTAATGCTAAATCCTTCAATTCCAAAAATCTAATCTTAATTTCTAATGCTAAATCCTTCAATTCCAAAAATAATTATGCAAATAAATCTAATAAATTATATAAATCAAAACCCAACAAATTATTTCATGGAACAATCATAAATCATATAAAAAAAAAATTATTCAACGAAAAAAAAAAAAAAAACCAAAAAATGCCCAACCGCAAGTGACCTGCGGTTTGACCATGGTCGGACCGCAAATCACCTGCGGTTAAGCCATTGGTGGACCGCAATTGACCTGCGGTTGGACCATGGCTGAACCGCAGGTGATTTGCGGTCCGACCATGGTCCAACCGCAGGTCAATTGCGGTCCACCAATGGCTCAACCGCAGGTGATTTGCGGTCCAGCCATGGTTCAACCGCAGGTCACTTGCGGTTGGACCATGGTCGGACCGCAAATCACCCGCGGTTCCCATTTTCTGTTTTTTTTTTTTTTTTTTGTTCATGTTCTTACCTCGTCGGAGTCGCTACTCATGATTCAGACGTCCTATCGACGATATCGGCTTCAAAATGACGATGAGAGATTTTTCTCTCCTTAGAGAGTGTTTTTTTAGTCCAAGTGATGTTTGTTTGAGGAAGGGAAGGTAAAGAAGCTATGGGGGTTAAAAGTGTAACTTTTATTCTTTTTAGGGCGACCTTTAGCAATTTTAAGGGCGACCTTTAGCAACTCCCTTATTTTTCTGCTGCTTTGTGCTTAATTGGAGAGATTGTGCATTTGAAGCATTTCCATTGAGCCCACACAAGGAGCTCTATATTTGGATTTACTTTTACCATATTTGATCCTCTTGTCCTTTGTTGTTAGCTAACTAACTACTATGGTCTATCGATGATGAACTTAAACCACTTGGATTTAAGCTTGAAAAGTTTGACATATGATGCATTGGGGGAGATTTTGGATTGTTGAAATTGTAAATAGATGGATTGTTAAGTGGACTGTGAATGTATCCTAACAAATGATGCATTGGGATCGTGTGTGGTCGATTGTGAATATGTTAATATTTGAATGGATGTTCGTGACAAGTGGACGTAAGTGGCGAAGATCTTAAGCGATAATGGACAAAAAGAATATGGAGAGTGAATTGGAGGACATGCAATCACCTTTTCACTTAAGGAAGTGGAACTCGACTCTCGAGCATGAGAAGTCACAAGCGATCCTCATAGTCGGAGTCACCTACACTTGAGGTTTATGAAATGGAACACACCTACTTAGTTAAGATCGATGATTATGGTTGCGTCACAAGTTAGAGGCAACGGATGGTTGTGATTGCACTAAAAACTACTAGTACAAACACATGAGCAGGTATGTAACAAATAACTCATACAAATGGATAATGATGAGCTACCAAGGTCTGGCAGATAAACCGATAACCCATTTCACCATTAACTATTAATCTAATACTTAAGTGATTAACCTCCAACTAATTAATCAGTTATCACTTAACCAGTGACGGTTTAATTTATACTCCGAAGTATTTTTTTGTTTTTTTGTTTTGAAACCTTTGTATTGTCACTATTGTGTGGGCTTGTATTATTGTATGTTTAATAGGCAGGCTTAATCCCAGTCTCAAGCAGCCTTTGAACAAAGTGGGGCTGGGTACTGGGTAGCTCGTTGGAGCTTGGGCTTCTTCGACATTTTTCTCAACAAACCCACTTGCAAATCGCGGCCCAAATCTACGTAGAACATAAACCAGTCCAGTTGTCTATCCACTAACAATGGTAATGAGTCGGGTTGGATCGGATTTTGCCAAATCCAAATCCAAACCCATGGGTTTATCCGTTAAAAAAAAATCCGGGTAAAACTTACTGGGTTTGAAAAACTCAAACCCAACTCGCTGGGTACCCATGGGGTTTTGTCGTAAAAAATTTACAATAACAAGTTCCTATCAAAATTAAAGTCAAATATCAATCTCTCAATACAAAATATCCATATATAAAACACCATTCTAGAAAATTCAAGCAAATCACAAATTAACTATACAAATTGTTCAACACCAATCTAGAAAACTCAAGAAAATTGAAGCAAATCACAAATTATCCATAAATAACATGATTAATTGAAAGCCTCTTCCTTTCAATTAAGTTTCTTCACTCTCCACTCTATAACATCAACTTCATTCTACACAATTATAAAGAAAAAAATTAGACATGTCTCCACAAACATAAATAAAATTAATTATTTAGAATACTAAATATACCAAAAAAATTAATTATATGGTGGGGCAGGTACCCATGCGGCAGGTTTACCTAAATTCAAACAAAACCCCGAGAATAGTAAATGAGTTTAAACCCAAAATCAGCCCAAAACCCATCAACACGAATTTTACCCGAATTGACTGGATTGAGTCGGGTGAGTACCCGTGAGTTTGAGTTTGTTCCCATCTCTAACTAACAATAAGGAAAACCGACATATAACAATAAAAAATCTATTATGTAATATTTATAAATGTAGTAAATTCAACTACACGTTTATAACTCTCTAATAATTCGCAATTTCCCCAATTAATCCATTTCATATTCGGCTTATTACGGCCGGCAGTGCAGATATAGAGAGAAAAGTCTCCCCTTCTTCTTCGTCCCGTCTTCCTCTATCCCCCGATGTCTTCCGCAGGAACTCCAACCGGCGCCGCCGCCGCCGCCACAGCTCGCCCTCCTCCCGCCTCCGTACCAAAGGCTTTCTTCTGCTACCAATGCAATCGCACGGTCACCATATCCGTCTCCCCGACCTCCGATCCCCTATGCCCTTCCTGCAACGAAGGTTTCTTAGAGGAGGCTGAAAACCCTAACCCCGGTCCAAATCTCTCCTCCGCCGCAGCAGCCGACCCCTTCGGCGATGCCTTCTTCCCTCCCATGAGCCCCTTCTCCCTCCTCCCTCTACTCTTCTCCTCCTCCTCCGCCCACGGTGGCTCCGCGACCTTCGAATTCCAAAACCCTAACATCTTCGGCGCCCAGCGATCGCCCTCCGATCAGGCCGAATTCAACCCCCACGATTTCCTCCGCAACTACCTCAACAACCTCCACAACGACGGCGCCAGAATTCAGTTCTTCATGGACAACAATCCTCCCGCTGGCAACCTCGGCGATTACTTCATCGGCCCGGGACTCGAGCAATTGATCCAGCAGCTGGCAGAGAACGACCCCAACCGCTACGGAACTCCTCCTGCTGCGAAATCAGCAATCGACGCCCTCCCTACCGTCAAGATCACCGGCGAGGCCCAGAGTTCTGAGATGAATCAATGTGCTGTATGCAAGGATGAGTTCGAGACGGGTGATGAGGCGAAACAGATGCCTTGTAAGCATGTCTATCATCCTGATTGCATTGTCCCCTGGCTTGAATTGCACAATTCATGCCCAGTTTGCCGCTACGAGTTGCCCACGGGTGATTCCGAGTACGAGACCAGGAGGCGCAACGGTGACCAAGGGGGCAACACCCAGAGCCCCGATGCTGGAGGTCGGACGGAGAGAAGGTTTAGCATTCAGTTGCCGTGGCCGTTCGGCAGACAAGGTGGTTCCAGCAGCGATGGGGGAGCTGGTGGCGGCCAAAGTAGTGCCTGATTTCCAATTGGGTTAGTTGTTTATTTTCCTGTTATCTTTTCTTTCATTCATTGTCTAAAGATTGACCATAGCAATATAGCGATTCCTCTGTATAGTTTGAATCTTTGGGAGTTTTATTCTTAATTGTTGAGCTGAATCAATTACCTTAAGCCTGTTCATATTGATATTCGTTACTTAATGAGGTCCCGGAGTATGATTTGAGGAGAAGCATCAGCTTTAAAATTGAGGGTATAATGTGCTTAACGTATGTTGCTCTTCAATAGATGGTTCATTGTACTCGAGTGTTCTGAAGATTTTCCATACTAAGTTGCAAAATTGAGATGCTTTGGAATTTTTCGTTATGCCCGCCCTCTCGTTAAGGCAAGAATACATGTTTACTTAGGAACCCAACTATTATAACTTTTGTGTCAACTTCTGGGTAGATGTTACTCTTTCATATGCAAGTCTTAGATGTTGTTGAGGTGCCCCGATTTCGTTATTCTATGCCTAGCTTGGCCCTTGTGTATGTTTCTCGACGACTTTTTGCTTAATGAATATCAAGAATGCTGGTTGATGTAAGTTGAGCAAAGTGGAACTTGTGGAGACATTACCTGGTGACTTTCCAAGCTCTTACTTATAGATAGTTACAGTGGCATTCTATTGGGAGTATGATGTAGCACAGGTAGGTTGCTTATGTTGTTTGGAGTGCTCGTATGATTAGGTTTTTTATATACTTTCGTATTTTATACTTCCCTGGACCAGACATTGGGATTAGTAGTGGCCATTTGTTTCAAATTCTAGGTTTTGAGTAAGTGCATGTTGCAGCTGTGCTCCCTTTTCCTGAGATTTCTGGACTGTGTCTGTGTGTCCATTCTGTTCTACACTTCGTGATATCCTTTTCCACTTGCATTAGACAGTACTTTATGGTAGCGGTACATGGTCATTATTTGGTCTCTCCAAATGGGATATTTTGTGAGTCATGGAAGTCGGATGGGGGTTTCTTGTTCTTTGTCGGGAGGAGAGGGGATTTCCGTTTTCAGTCAGCACTTGCCTAGTAAGTACACAATCGCAAGCTGTGTGTATCTTTAGCCTGATGGTGCAGAATTTCCGTCTGAAGTAGCAGGAAGAATACATTGTGTCATTTAATGTCAGCGAATGCAACTCCAGTGAAGAGGCTAGGGTTTAAGTGTCTGAGATCAGACTTGTTGTTCTTAGGTTTGTTATACTTTCCTGGCCATTTAATTTGGAGTCATTGATCAAAATGGTCACACAGGTTTGATCAAGTAACAAAATGGTCACAAACGTTTGAAACGTAACAAAAGGGTCACGCAAGTATTATGTCATAACAAAACAGTTATTCCATGTATTTTCATTTGTATTTCCATCCAAAATGACCAGTTTGCTTGCTCTAAATAAGCGGTAATTTTACATGTTGGTTAGGTGGTTGATAATTTGTTATCAATTTTCCATAGTGTCATCAAAATATTCAATTATTATGGATGAAAACATGGTTAAAAATAGATGAAATGATTGTTTTGTTATATCATGATACGTATATGATCTTTTTGTTACGTTTTAAATGTTTGTGACCATTATATTACTGGTACAAACCTATTTGACCGTTTTGATTACCTATTTAATTTGTTTTGTCTACCGAACTCCTTTTTCAGGTTAATGGAGAATGCTCCTGAGCAGCAGCATAGAGCAGATGAAGGCATGAAGAACAGCTGGAGCTGCTGCTGAATGAAGAACACGAAGACCACTATGATGCTTTGAGAAACGACAGTGTTCTGCTTTAGTTCTGGAATTAGTAGAAGACCCAGAACGGTGACATTTCCTTTGGTCGAGTGCAATTAGTTAGTAAATAGACAGATGTCGTTTTGTTAGTGGATAGTTTGATTTGTTAGTTAATAAGCACTGTAGATTAGTCGTTAACTCTGTTTCCTTTGTACATATATATATGGGCAATCTAGAAAATGAAGAATTCAGTTTCTGAGTCCTCTTCCCCAAAAAACCCTAGTAGATTTGATTTATTCTTATGGTATCAGAGCTTGGTTCGCCAGGTCTGACCGTCGTTTCTCTAATTCACTGAACTTCCTTTCTTTTATACCGATTTCTCTACAATGTCTGCTTCTGATGGGATTCTTGCGGATTATGTAGAAGAGACGGTCTCAGCAAATGATGAGACCTTACCTCGCATGCCGCAACCCAGATCTCAGCGGCTCAACGCCTTTATTCCTCCAGAGGTTCCTCGATATGAAGATCCTTACCTCAATCCCTACTACTTACCGGCACACGATGGGGGTTTGACAACCATCATCAGCATGGAACTCACCGACCAAAATTACAATCTATGGAGTCAGGTAATGGAACTGGCTCTTAGCACTAAGAATAAGCTTCAATTCGTGAATGGCATGATTCCAGTCCCAGAGATAGGAGATCCCATTTGGCAGTCATGGCATAGGTGTGATAGCAAAGTTCGGTGTTGGATCTACAATTCCCTTTCAGACGACATAGCCAACAGTGTTGTTCCCTATAAGGTTGCCAAGAATGTTTGGGACAATCTTAAGGATAGGTTCAGTCAAGCAGATAATATTAGGGTTTATGAGCTCAAGGAACAGATCTCCAAACTTGTTCAAGGAGATCTAACAATGACTCAATATTATACTGTTTTGACAACCAAATGGCAAGAGTATAAGATGTATAGGCTAGTGTTATGTTGCCCATGTACAAATAGCACTTTCTTCACTATCCAGAGGTATGAAGAGCACAATTTCATCATTAAGTTCATGCAGGGACTTAATGATTCTTATCAGTCAGCAAGAACTCAAGTTGTTATGAATGCTCAGTTGCCCAGCATTAAGTCTGTCTTCAAACAAATGGTTCAGCTGGAGAGACAGATGAAGCGACTTGGGACAAGTAAGGGTCGTGTTGATTCCCTTGCTCTTCTAGCATTAAGTCAACCACCTAGACAACCTAGAAAAGGGCAAGGCACCCGCAATCCTAAGGACTACACTACTGATGGGAAGTAATGGTGTAGGTACTGCAAGAAGGAGTACCGCACTATACAGAATTGCTTGAAACTGAAGAACAAGCTTGCTAAGGAAGGTGGGCAACCCTTTGCTGGTTCAGTGGAAACTGGTTTACATGACACTGGTGATTCTTATGATGGCTCCTCTATAGCTAGTAGGACTGAGAAGGATTTGGATTTGGATCTGAGTTCACTGCTCACCTCAGACCAATTTGAGAAGCTAAAGGTAATGATCATCAGGTCACCTTCAGCATCACCTTCTCCACCTACCTCACCTCACACTGCTAATGTTATAGTTAGGAGTACACCACCACCACATGTTGTCAATCAAGTGCACAGAACCACACCTGCTTCCATGTGAGAACCACGCTTCTAGGGATTCTCGATACTGATCTTCGGCACCCGTGAGATTGGGATTTAGGGTTGAGATTAGGGATTTAGATGAGATAGAATAGAATTGGGAATCGGCCGAGGCCTTGGACTAGGATGAGATGAGAAATTAGGAGTTGAGAGGAGAGATTAGAGTTTAGGAGACTTTGCTTAATATTCTTCTTGATTGATTATGACGTAAACCCAAAGTACATATATATAGGAAATACTGGAAAACCCAATGCAGTCAAAATCACGTTTTAAAACTTAAAAACTTACAGTTTTACGCTTCTAGGTCCCCAAAACGCTTTCGTTTCCATATAAAATCTTTAGTGAATAAAATCGGGACGACAATGCGCTTTAAAGCTTAAAAGCTTACGCTTTTATGCTTCTGGTTCACCAAAACGCTTTACGCTTTTACGCTTCTAGTTCACTAAATGAGTATTCTACTCATGAAAATAATTATAGAAAGTATATTTTAAAGGTAAATCACAAAAAAGAAAATGATATATTTGAGATTAAAAGTACATATTAGGTACTTGAGTGTATTCTTAACTTCAATAGAGTAATCTAATTCACCAGTTAGGCCCTTCCCAAATTCACTAGCATAGAGGGGAAGGTAGCTTATTGTTAGATATATGTTTATGAACTTATTGTTATGATGTTATGAGTTTCTCAACTTTAGACATGAATTGCATGTATTTATTAACTTATCTAAATTATGTGCACTCATATTTTACATAGTATATATGTCGTACTTAACACATTTTTTGTTATTTTACAGTATGCTTCAAAAACTTACGTTTTTACGCTTTGATTTTACGCTTTACGATTTTACCCCTTTTCCGCTTTTAGGTAGAATCGCGCTTTTGACTGCATTGGGAAAACCCTAACGAATAACCTAGTTGGACTAAATCTCTACTAACCATAATAATAATTATCCTACCTAATATAATAATAGAAACCATATATAATTGTGTTTCTGACAATCCATCCCCCTTGAGAACAACCTTGACCTCAAGGTTGTAGTTGACTTCTACCTCCTTGACCTTCCGCTTTCTTCGTTTCCAATTGCGTTCCAACTCACGAATGACTTCTTCAACTCCAACGTCCTTCAACTCTTTTCGAATTGCGTGACACACGTCACGTTTCTTATACACGAACAATTCTTCCTCTTCCTCTTCCTTTTCAAAATCCATGGAATAAGAATTGGAGAATTGTCCTTCTTCATGCTCTAGCTTGAGGCCTTCAAGGCTATGCTCCATAAATTCTTGCTTGGTGGTGATTACAGCCCATAACCTTACCCAACATTCCCTTCCTACTCCTTTGGGTCGGCCCACATTAGCTTGAAAGAATGAGTTGTGGCCCAAACCCAAGTCAAGCCTCTCCTTACTCCTATCTCCGTTTGGGCTTGTCTCCTCCAAAAGCCCACTTTTTAAGTCCACCAAACCTATTTCTTTCTTTAAGTAGCTTCTCTGCACAATAAACCCCAGAAAACAGCCATTGGGCTTAATCCCTT